GCGCTGCGTGTCGTACGTGCATCAAGTGCGCTTCAAATGCACTTCATTGCCTCCGAGACACACACACACGCACAGCCCCATGCATGGATACTCGGCGACACACACACACACACATGCTCGGCAATTCACACCCACACATAGAGTGCTTAGGCTTTGTGCAGCACAAAGTAAATGAAATCGTGTAAGAGCAAAGAGTAGCAGCGAAGGAAAAAAATGAAGGAAGCACACACAGCACACAGCAGGGACATCAAAAAGCGCTGGCTCAGTTGCCGGCACCTTTTAGATACACGGATACAGAGATACGCGCACTCACAGTCACTCGAACACCCGCCGCTGAGACACTCGCACACTCACACACCTACATGCATTCACTGCTCACAATCAATTGCCTAAAGTAGTTTGTAAAATAGGATAAAGTTGCAGTAAACTTGGAACTCTGCAGCAAAGGATTCCCCGAGACAGTCTCTAATGAAAACGTAAAATCCAGCCGCACTTGCCCGCTTTTCCCACTTTTCCACTTTTCCCTCCTGAATTTTCCAGCTTTATTTGCCCAAGATTTGTGAGCAAACATACATGGATTTCGTTGCTTCGTTTTCTCTGCTTTTTATTTTTTTTTTGTGCTCAGCTTGTTCTTTCTTATTATTTCGATTTATCTGCTCCTTGCGAACGGCGCACTGCAGTCATTTCACTTGGGCCCCCTTGGGCAATTTTAAAGCCCCTCGCTTTTCCGATTTGCGCCCCTTCTCCCAAAAAAAAAAAGGTTGCAAGTGTGTGAGTGTGGTTGAAATTTTGAGGGCAGCCAGGCGAATCTGTCAAACGGCAAATACGAGTAAATAATAAAATCAAGTTGCCAGGCTGGTAATGTGCCCGAAATTGATTTTTTGTTGAGCCAGACAACTAAACAGGACACACAATTGGCCAAAGGGGCGGCGTTGTTTAAGGTACTCAGGTACAAAGGCAAATATTTGGTCAAAAATTGTCGTGCAGGTGCTGTGTTCTGTTTTTGTTTGACCCCGAAAGCAGGGCATACAGCACAGCAAAAAAAGTATGAAGCAGTAAAAATGAGAGATTATTATAAAAGGATTATTGTTTAAATAGCTATTTGCATACTTTATCTTGCTAATTTTGAATTCAAATTGGTATTTATTCCTCGTCAAATATTTTAATCCTTACATTTGTGCAAGCTCATAAATTCCATACCTTTTGCACAATTTAAGGACTCCGTTTTGTGGTAAAGTGCGAATCGTGAAGCACTTAAATTGTGGGCTATGCAAAGTGATTTTTTCTTTTGGCCCGTTGTTGTCTCCAGCAGACCTGTCAACTGAAATGCTCGCTGAAACGCAACGAAAGCCCCTAAATCAATAAAAGTTTCGATGGCTTAATACCAAAACGGAAGCGGGTTTTTCGGCACTCGACAGTGGCGTCGACAGTCGCTAGGTCGTCGAAAATATGCCGCCGCCAATTGGGGATCCTTGTTATTGCAATCCCGCTGCACCGCCGACTGGCATTTGGGTTATATTTTTTATTGACTTAGTTTCGAGTGTCAGTGCCGCAAAGTTTGCAACTATTGCGCGGCAAGTTCTCCATTCGGTTCTCCATTGAATGGGCTGCCTACTTTAGGCGTTGTCTGGCGATAGTTTTTCGGCTTTGCGATTACAAATGAGATTTATACGGCCATTTCCGAGCCATTAGAGGAAGTGCAGGGCGGCGCTGCCTAGTCAAGTGTGCGGCCATAAAGAACCCCGAAAAGAGGAGGGGTAAAAATAAGTATTACTTCTGCAACCGCCGGCCTCATATTTTACCATTGGCCTTGGCGCATTAACCGACGCTTTTTCATTTACTTCTCTCACTTTGCAGGCCAACTTGTCAACGGAGCGGCACGCCTAATGTCCTTTTGATAGGCCCGCTGGCCGCTCCAGGAAGCGGCAGCCGGCAGGAGGAAGTGGTGTCCACTGCAGCGGCGCCAGCGCTTGATAAATTATCATGTGAGCGGAGGGAAGGAAGCCAGAGGGCCAGGAGCCGGAGGAAGTGGCAGGATGCGGCTGGATGCGGCTGGCAGCTGCAGCAAATGATGCTGCATAGAACTAACCCGTTCACCTGCGACGATTTTTAATCTATTTTAAATGTGATACGAGACCATGGTAATGGTACGGTGCGACCGGATGATGGTTCACAACGACCGTGTCCTTTAAACGGGTCGGTGGGACTTTCGTCCGTTTGTAACGCCATTTGTCAACGATTTATCAGTGTCCGTTCGAGAATTATTTATGATGCCGTCTTGCACCTGCCGTCCATCGATAGTGGCATTAATTGATTCGTAATTGCATCCTGTTCCGGAATTAATGTTAAGCCGCTAACCCCAAACCCTGTTAATCCGTATATCTCGACTATGCATTTCAAATAAAATGTACTTGTATTTATTTAATTTAAACAAACGATAATATCTTTTCATTGCGAATGGGCTAACAAACAAAACAGATTGCAAGGGGACGTTTGTTTTCTGTTTTTGTTTTTTTTTTTTTTTTGTTTTCTGTGAGTGCACAAGGATAATAACAATATTTGATGGTGTAGCCTAGGGATAAAAACATGGATAATCGCTGACTGATTGGCGGCTTCGATAACATTAACATGCGTTTACAAATAGATAATTGTATAAATAATTTTACTATTGACTAGGGATAAATTTGTCGTATTTGCTTCGATTCTTTGCTAATTGGCTAATGTGTATATTTGGATAGAATGCAATGCAGCAGCAGCAGAATAAATAGAACATCGAAAGAGTTGCACTGGGGGCAGCCTAACTACTTAGCATAAGCGGATTATCTGATATAGAAATTCATGAGGCGGCGGCGAGATTCCATTGTTTTGCTCGTGCCGTTTTCAAAAATTTAAACTTCGAGTTTTGTTTCGCCGCCTTTGAAACTCACCACGCAGGTGTGAGACTCGGCTAGAGTGGCGCGGGCGTGTGGTTCTAAACTAGACTAACAGATAGGTTTCTTCGATTGGCAAGAGAATAAAGCTCGGCTTTTCGTTCGCTTCTCTACGAGATGTAAAGTTCCACGCACGAGTTGCTCACAAGGGGCGTGGCAGCTGCCCCCGCCGCCCCCTGGCTCCCTGTCTTCAGCGGGGGCGCCGCGGCGGACGTGGGCGTGCCATGGTTTGTGTCTATGCTGAGCAGCGTTTGTGATGCAGACGTCTCTTGAGGCGTCGACTGAGTGTCCTTTGCTCCTGTGGAAGTGTCCCCCTCCGTCCTGCCATTCACAGCGATCAATGGCATATGCGCTGGCACCGCCTGACCGGCTAACTTAACGCAACTGGAGCTGGGACTTCCGTTTCCGGTCGTAGTGGGCGAAAACTGCTTGGGCGGCACAAAGGAGACGGCCGCTTTGGTGGGCGTGAGTATCAGGCCAGTACTTGTGTTCGGAATGGACACGTTGGGCGGCGAAAGAGGCGAAGGTGGAAAGAAGTCCAGCGGATACTGCAACATACACAAATAAGTTAATGCTTCACTATTCGTTTTTAAGCTAATTAATGGACTTTAAGCCACAATTTGAACAATATACGGAAGGGGACTCTTTAGGGAGTGTTACTCTGGGGTCATGTGGTCCTTACCAGGGGCTGCGAAGGCGAGTGTGCGCCCGGCTGGCTGTAGTAGGTGGTGGGCGAGACCGGCGGACTTGGGTAGGGCCAGTAGACGAGCGGCGGCGGGTAGAAGGCGGAGGCCGGGTGGTGGTGCGGATGGTGGTGCGATCGGGGCGTGGCCAGCAGGGGCGTGTGTGGCGGCGGTGGGGGCGGGGCCGCTCCGTAGGCCGGAAAGGGACCGCCGAAATGGGCGCCCAGTACTGTGGCACCTAGTGGAAAACAAATAAACAGTATTATTTCGCTGAAGTGTCATCTAGTGTAGGGGTTCGTAAACAGAAGGGGTTGGGTTTCAGTCTGGGAACTCTGGGGTAATAGGTGTTGTGAGTATGGCAATTGCTTGTTGATAGGGAAGGACAAGGGTCAGCAGACATATACAAGATATACAGGTATATATGCGTGGATCAGCCGAGGTTCTCAGCTTCTGCAGCTTTACTTATGCGGATAATGCGGATAGCCATTCACTTTCTTTATTTGTGGTTCAACCTCACGTTTTAGTTGTTACTAGGTTAATTAGTGATCTTATCTCCGTAATTAATTGGCCAGTTAGTTAGTCGATTAGTAGGGGCAAAATTGTATTCAAATCACTCACCGTTTAGACATTGCAAATGGTAGGAGAGACATATATAGTTGGTATTTTGGAACGAGTATCTTACCACCTCACCCAGAGACCATGAAACAGTTGCGCACAAGTACGAGTACAAATTTTGAACATGTTTGGCCGATTGTTTTGGAAATTTTAATTTGTTTACTGTTTGCTTTTTTTTCTTTTGATGTTTCGTTTGATTGTTTTGTTTAATCCAAGCACCAGGCCCTCGCAGACCGTAATTGATTATATAGTATGCGCCCGAAGGAACAAACTGCGTCGAGTTACATACAGGATGCGACTATGACTAGTACGATGTACGATGGACATTCCACTTAGAGTTACGATAGTATTTATGTGGCTAGAACAGTGACGGAAACAAAAACCAAACAAACTCCAAATGCCGATTCCGGATATCCACTCCCAGCGTTTTGGCCCTCGGACGAGGCGCTGAAATCGCGATCGAGTGTAAAGCGTAGCCCAAGACCTGTATCCCAGTTACATGTACATATATGTAGGGGTGTGAATGGGGTAGAGTGTGGTGAATAGGAATAAGGACTAGGGATAGGGATCTTGGTTGGAGGCGTGGTTTTCTTCTCGGTTTTTGGGGGTCATCAGTGTTAGTAAGGATTTAAACCCATTATGATCTCGTATTGCTTATTAGTAGGTCTAGGAATGATCCTCTACTCATCGGGCAACACACAAAAGAGCGAAAGGGATGGTGGCAGTGTGAGAGAGAGATAGATAGAGAGAGAGAGAGAGAGAGAGAGCGGGCTTAGTTTAGGCGGTATGTCGTATTTTATTGATGTAAAAAATTAATCAAAGATTGTTCACTAACATCTAGTGGTAAAAAAGAATGGAATATCAAAAATCGTAAAATTTCCAAAAAACATTAAAACTGCTGTGCGTACAAACTAGTTAAGTAGATATAATTGATTATGTGTTGTTTCTTTAAAGTGGCCAGTTTAACCCGCTCGGAAGCCACTCGTTTGCCATTCTACGTAAAACTAATGGTTAAATTAGGCTAAGGATTAGGCTAGGCGCAGACTATCTTTCCCATGCCTTTCCCTCGCTAAGCTCGATCTTCCCAAGCCGAGCGAAACTTAGTGTTAGACGCAGCAGGAGAAGGGAGTGGTGGATATATGGATTTTTGTTTTGGGAGATTGGGTAGGTCGGGGAATTCGTTCCCGAAGACGCTGTCAAAAGCTCCTATTTGTGTAGAAATTCTACAAAATGCTCATTAACTGAATTCATATCTTAGCTCAAAGGATGTTCCTTATCTTATATTGCAGAGTTCTAAACTCATGGTAAGCTACGCCGAATAGTATATTATAATTTTGTAGACTTCTTATTATCATATCGTTCCGAAATAATTACTTCTCAAGAGCTAAGACAGTCTTAAATCTAACGAGCACTTTGCAGGATTGTAAGCCCAAGTCACCAGTAACCAGTTATCAGTTATCCGATTATGTAGACTAGACACACTATATATATAGACACTAAAGCGCCCCAACTTACAACAAGCTTTAGACTATAGATCTAGCTGATCCCGACTAGATTAGTGATGACAGAGAACACACAAACAGTGAGAGGTATTGATATCAAGAGGTAGAGAGTGATACAGTAGAGAGAACTATCCCAGTTGCGACTAACACCAGTTACGCACACTTAAGAGCTACACCATAGATCTAGGCACTATGTATTTATAGGGTGTACGATATTGCAAGTCAGACGATGAGATTATTAATAATTGATTGTTAGCGGCCATGGAGAGACACGGGAAAAGATCGCCGGTAGAATTAAAATGCAATCCCATTTCACAAATCGCACAAACTTAAAGCTAGCGTGTATAAATGTAGTTATATGTATAAGTCGATAGGCACACAACTCCACCCATCGATGGGTATTCCAAATAGCTTGTCTAACAAAACAGGGTTTCGTGATATTCGCTTAACTCGTGTTAGCCTGTAAACAATTCCGGGTTTCGATTTCGTTTCAAGTTCTGTTTCAATTTGCGCTTGAGCCAACACCTGACGTGGTTCACGGAGGGAGGGGAACTCATGGAGGGCGCCGCCGAGTGGCTATATTATAAACAGGATTACATAGGGTAAACACTAAAATTAGATTGCACTAAATGGGCTTGGTGGCCACCAAGCCGCCCATGAGAGCTCCCTGCCCCATTGAACCACGTTAGCCTCTGTTGATTGCCTTCGAATCGGGGGACAGTCGAGGATATATATTCTCAAGATACATATATACTTTCTCCTGCCCCCCACACGCGTGCACGCACACACACACCAAGCATATATCGGAATATAAAAATAAAGGTCCATTGGCATGGAATGCTTAGTAGAACACTAGTGATTAGGACACATTGATCCTTTTCGAAATGCCCCTGTTAGCTGGTGTACTTATGCGTGTATGGGTGAGCAGTGCTTGCAGGTGTGTGTGCTTGTGTGGGTGTGTGAGTGCCCGCGTGTGTGTCTCGTTGTATATTAATTATAGTAAGTATGGTTCACTTAAACCATAGACAGGTATGCTTAGGCTACTACGAGTACTCCATACAAGAAAAGTACTTATGTCTACATTCCAAATCGGTAATTATTAAGCTCTAGATGTCTAGAATGTCTGGTATGCGTTGTGTGTGAGTGTGGCCATGGTGATACATGATATGGTTATGTGTGCGCCTTAATGTAGGTATTAAATGAACGCCCCACCCACTCGCGGAATGTGCCCGAAGTGCTGGAGTTGGAGCTCTTATTTCAGGTTCAAATCTTTCATTTGTGTGGGAGCAATCTAGGGTCTAGATCCCCGAATTGTAGTACGAGTAAACGCTGCTGGGCTGGCGGCCCGTTAAGGCCCGCTTAGCAGCACTGGCCGCCGCTGCCGCTCCCGCTGCCTCCTGCTGAAAGGCGTTCTCGTACGAGCGCTTCATCGATTGACCCAGCGAGGAGTTGCTGGCCGAAGGTGATACTGCTGCTGCCGCGCCGGCAACTGCTGCTCCTGGCGCCACTCCAACGCCCGAAGCCGCCCCTGCAGCGGACATATAGCTGAGCGGAAAGGGCGGCAAGTAGGCGGCCGAGGGCCGTTGCATGAGCACAAATTGGGGCTGACCCTGTTGCAACATGGCACTGGCATACAGTTGCTGCTGCTGCTGTTGCTGTTGCAAGTACAGCGGATGCTGTTGAAGCATTGCACTGGCATAGAGTTGTTGCTGCTGCTGCTGTTGCTGCTGCTGTTCAGCGGCCAAGGCAGCAGCGGCAGCCTGCTGTCGCACCAACAAATTTTGCTGGGCGATGAACTGAGCCTGCTGTTGGGCCAGCAGGGCGGGAGTGGAAGCTGCTGCAGCAGCCGCAGATCCTGGCGGCGGCAGCGAGAAGGGATTGAGGGCATAGCCCTGAGGAGCCAAGGCCACTGCGGCATTTTGCAGCGAGGCAGCGGAATGGGCAGCTGCGGCTGCCGACTGCTGACCGGCCGACATGAAGGAGGCCAGACTGGATGCAGAAGCGGCAGCCGAAAGACCCGGCAGCATAGCCGATGAGGCGGACAATCCGTGGTGGGCGGCGGCGGCCGCCGCATGGGCGTGGCCCGGGGCGTGCGCATGCGCATGTGAGTGCGGGTGAGTGTGTGTATGAGTGCCGCTGAGCGGCGACTGAGCGGTACCGGCGGCTACGGTCGTCGGCGACTGACCCGCCGAACTGAACATACCCGTAGTGGCGGCCAGCAGTGATTGCTGCTTGTGAGCGTGGCCGAGGTGAGGCGGCGGCGGTTGTGCCACCGGAGAGGCCAGCCCTCCGTTGAGGACCATGTTCATGTCGTCCCCGGAACACTGGAACACCTCGATGTAGCGGTACTTCTTGCCGAACATCATATAATGATTGTGCCTGCGCTGAGCACACAAGCGAGCTGACTCCTCCAAGTCCATCTGGATAAAGGCCTCACCGCTTGGCTGGCCCTAAATCAATTTGAAACAATGGATTTATAATATTGAATATAGAAGATATCTATTGGCAAACTAACCTGCGCATTGATCACCATATGAACACCTTGGTAGATGATGTGCTTTGCAAAGTCGTCGAGGAAATGCAGAATGTGCTCGACCATCGCCTCGTAGGGCAGTCCGCGCAGTCGGATGCAGTTCTTGGTGGTGCCCGAGGTGATGAGGTGCTGTGTGGGGAGAGGGAGAGCGGGAGGTGGCACGGGGGGGCACAGGTTAGCGGGGCTGGCTCCGAGGCTGTGGCTGAGGCTGTGGGCACCCACCTGCGGCAGCAGCGGCAGCTGCATCGTGGGCAGTTGGGCAATCAACGGCGGCTGGCTATGCCCGCCACCGGACTCATAGTTCTTGGGATCCATCGACCGGTTGAGCACCTGCTGCACCTCGGCGGTCGTGGAACGGAATAGCTCAATGTACCGCTGCCCAATGGACTCACGGTGCCGGCACAGCGCCTTGGACGCGTCCGACTCGTGTGCGAATAACACAAAGGCATCACCCGTGGCCCGTCCGTCCGGCTTCTTAACGAACAGCACGCCCTCGTTCCCGTCGAGAACATGGCAAGGCGGCGTATCACCAGCAGTGAAAAAGTCCAGCTGAAAGGGAAAATTAGTTCATTAGTATACATCCGGAATATTATCCGGAAAATACTCCAGTTCTGTTGGCTGTTTCTTTAATAATTTTTCTTTAATCTTGACGTGTCTGTCTATTGACGTGTCGCCGTCAGTTGGAGAGAGACACTGAGCTGCTGGACAACTGCCAGTACTTACCACTTGCTTGGCGGTGGCGTCGTAGGGTAATCCTCGCATGCGGATGATCACCTGGGCGCCCTTCGATAGGAAGGCCTGCGCCTCATTGGAGGCTCCGCCGGCAATGGCCAGAAAATCCTCTCCCGATGCCCGGTACACCTCGATGTAGCGGGTGCCGATGTGGTGCTTGTGCCGCTTGAGCGCCATGTCGCGATGCTCCTGGCACACAAACCGGATCAGAGCCTCGCCGTTACGACGACCCAGCGGAGAAAGACAGAGGGCCACGCCGCCCCTGGAATTCGAAGAAGGGGAGCGGTTAGCGGGTGGTTAGATGATAAAGTGGGTCGCTCGTAATCTCGACACGACCGACCCCTGAACTGTCTTATCAATGGGTTGGCGTGGGCCACTCCAACACTCCGCACATTACTCACTTGGCTACGTTGAGGCCGCGAAAGAACTTGGCGATGTCCTGGTCGCTGCTCTGCCAGGGTAATCCTCTGGCCCTCACTATGCAGTTGCCGTCGACCTCGTCGTCAATGGAGCTGTGCAGAAAGATGGGAAAATCCGTAAGTATGGTGCTTCTGGGAAACTACCTATCCCGAATGCGGCTTATGCAACACGTGTTGCTGGGCCCTCTTCTTGGGCAAGGAGAAAAAGGCGTCGCAGTCACGTTCCGATGTGCAACCAAAGTTCTTGACGATTACCAAGTCGCATAAACATTTCTGCTGACTCTCTCGCAAACACACACTCGCGCAAATAAAACAGAATGTCATGCATAAATGGGCCAGCAAAAAATACAAAAAAAAGGAAAATAAAACCCAACGAGCTGAGCGAACAAATAAAAACATGAATAATCTGAGTTGGCAAGCGGGCACAACAAGGAGTTTCAGAAAATTGCCATTCCATGTTCGGGGTAGGGGTTTACCTCTGTCGCTCGCTAATTGAAACTTTTATAGTGATTGGCCCGAAAAACAGACCCCAACCTCTAGGAAAGTTGATAATTTCAGGGCGATCTGGCGATAACAAGAGCCGTGCATTCACGTTGCCTCAGATCCGTTACGATGCCACCCGATACCACACCATGCCATCGGCTCAGAACCGATCCCGTGGAAACACTATGGCTATGTGGCTCTACGATCGAGCTCTTATCGCCTCCCAATCCAAACGAAGACTGACGAGAGCGACGCTCCCAGCTCGGATTTGTTGGGGAATTCTTCCAGTGTCGCGGTTTTCGAGTGATTTCATAGTGGGCTTGGCGATCGTTTTGAGTTCTTTGAGTGAGTTCTGCCCACTCGAAATAGTGCTTGGATCAGCTGAGAGGGGCTTGAGTCGAGTTTGGTTTCGGGGGAACCAGTTCAGACGGAGCCAAAACACCAACTATGCGCAGTACTCACCAAATTCCCGGTTCCAGTACCAGGTTGACCAATTCGTTTGCAGCAAATTTGTGACCTGTGAAAGGAAGCGCTGCAGGTAGTTAACAATTCGGAGAAAAAATCTCAGTTTATTAGCTTACCTGCCTGGAGCAGCGTCTGGATCACAGTGACCATGTCGCGGGATTCCCGAATGTAAAAGTCGTTGTCCTCCACGGATGAAATATTGAGTTCTGTTGCGCGAAAAGTAAACAAAGCAAATTTATCAGTTCATCCAACCATGCAACTAGTCATCGTTTTATAAGCACAGCTTGATTGAGACACATATTAGCTCAATATGCATTTAGTAATAATTATTGAAGATTAAGCAAAAATTGCAATCTCAACTTACCTCCCAGCATCTCGGCAATGGACTGGGGCATGGGCAGCGTGGGCGCCTGGAGCATCTTCTTGACATCCTTGACGGGAACGAGGGCGCGGGCAAGGTCGCCGGACTTGTAGCGCAGGAACTCCTTGCGCAGATCGCTGAAGCGATTGTAGTACGCCGGCAGCTCCACATCCTTGGCACTGGCCTCCCGATGGAGGCACTGCCTCAGGGGCAGCTGGCCATCTGTGACCAGCTTGATCTCCGTATCGTGGAGCGACAGAGATCGCAGATAGGCATCGAACTGGAGGGCGGAGACACGGGGAGCACACATTAGTTACCAATTGCACTTAACCTAGTATTACGACGCGCTAGGACGGACGGGTAAGGACGGGTGGGAAAGAGGGATTGGACCAAAGGTTAATGATAGCATTGGGAAAAATACCCCAAACATTCCATGGCCCGTGGGGGAAAAGTAGTTACTTTGGGTCACTGATAGTGCTACATTCCCCAGATTCGCCCCAATGCCAATGGCTTAAACCCGTTTGCTGGCCCTCAATTATGGCCAATTAAGTGAACAGTTTTCAGCCGTGTCATGGTGAGTAAATATAACACGCGGCTTAATGTCGCATTACCAGCTCGAAATCGCTTCAGAGCAAGGAGTGTAATCCAGATGACATCACTAATCGCAAGCCACCTTGCGGCATTCGAGTGCAGCTTTATCTCCGGGCAATGGCTTTATTGGCCCTATTGACTTGGCCCATTAGCATGCCAAACTTGTGCCGGTTTCCCAGTGCGTCACGCGCCAATTTCGCCAGGGAACAAAGATCCCAGATGCACATATAAGCTAAGTAATTGCCTTGACCAATGGAATATCGCACAGAAAAGATTATATGGATTTATCAGATCTACGCTTTCCTAACTACATGCTAAGTATTAGCAGAAGCATTTTGGGCTTATAGTAATATCCACATTTATATGAAACAATCATTTGTAACTTCAGTGCTGCTACTAACTGATTAGTGACGGTTGAAAGGGCATCAAATGTTTAAAGTAGTTAAAATTGGTAATAAATCAATCCCTAAAAAAGAAAACTTCCCATCGCTTTGCTCCCCATTCATATCGAGATCTTTTATCTGCATCACCAGCCAAAAATGTGTGTCGCATTTGTTTGCAGAGCGGCGTTTTCCAGCTCTTGTGCCCGAATGGAGCAAAAACTGGAACCGGGGGCTTGCCTGGAGTGCTCGTGTTATCAGTGGGTCAGATAAGCGCTCAAGCGGTGGGAGGTTGTGCATACGTACTGCCGCCCTCGTTGCCAATGAGTTTGGAATCTGTGGTGGGGCATGTTAGTCAGAGGATAATGCAACCCGTCGTGCCTGCGCGAGAAACTCGACCAAAAGCCATGACTCCCTCGGTTCAAAATAAAATCTTCGGTTGATTACTTTGTAAATTGATGCTGGGTGAAAAATATACTGCATGAAATTTGGTCGTAATACTTTAAACTGCACACAAATTCCCACTGTGTATTTGTTTGTATATTCCAACCCGGGTAACTCGATGCCCATTGATAAGGGTCCACGCAACAGGCCTCATAAAACTCGGGGCAAGGACCAAGAACTCTTGGAACTCACTCTCTTTCAAGAGCGAGCGTTCCATAAATAGACCTATCCGAAAATCACCCAAAACATGTGCATTTGCTTGTGGCATAGTGCAGTGTTATCTTATCGTAATCAGCAGATAACCATTTTGATTCAAAACGACCCAAAACAACCCGAACAACGTGCTCCGATTACCGCATGGATCAGATTGGATTATACGCACCTCTTCAATGGCCTCGCTCAAAGGTTTGCCAGCCGCCTGGGCCTCTGCAATGGGTAGAATCAGTTCGGATCCATTCTCCAGACTGCTTCCGTTGCCACTGGTGCTTCCACTGCCATTATTGGCATCCCCGATCGCCAGGGGCGGGGAGCTGGCCGTGTTGTTGGTGACACTCGAGTTGTCCGAGGAGCCCGAGATGGTGCGATCCTTGATGAAGTAGCCATCCGGCCGGACGAGTATTTGTTTGGTGCCCACGATCTGAAAGTGTGCATATGGATGGGGAGATTTAGTCATTAGTTTACTTGACAATGATAAGTGTATGTAATAATGATAGGGGTAATAGGAGGTATAGTCTGAGCTATGAGATAGAAATTCCCTTTCAAAGGGTACACTTCTGCGCCTATCGAGATTGCTTATATATTATATACCAAGTTCTGGCCTTCCTTATACCTTTAAAAACAACTATAGGTGTAAGATAACATTTCAAAATTCAGAAAAACAGTAATCATGACTGTTCCCAGCCTTATCACGTGGCCCAGAAATCGCTCTTGACCGAGTCAACTTTTCCTATCACTTTTGTCCGATAGTGGAGTACACCTGCTACTCAGACCGCAAATGGTTCTGGCTCTTTCTGGGAAATAGCTTCCTAGGAGTCTTTCCGGAAACCTCCAATCTTTCGGAACCCAGAAACCGCAATCCAATCCCAGTTTCTGTTCCAGGGGAACAAAGAATGATGCTTGCGTCAGCGGATATGCAAAGAAGTTACGATCCGATTCGGATTCGGGGTTCTCTGCAGGTAGTTGGGCGCTATGTAAATCTAGTAGGCCTTAGGCAGAAAACTTAAAAAAAAAAAACGAACATGGCGATTTTCTTTGTTTTCCGATTTCTGTTGGCGTTCAAAAACGATTTACATAGCCTTTGAATGAGAGAACAGTACGGGAATTGTGGGTTTTAAGGGAAAAGAACGAGGGGTATATGGCAGTACGGCTCCGAAGAAAATGAAAAATGCATGAGCTGTGGTCATGTTATATTCAACGGTCAAGAGAGTGGGGGTTAAGAGCAGCCCTAATTATGCCAGCATGGGGATCTCAATATATCCGATGAGAGGGTATACACATATATTTCCACTCATTGCAGCTCAATAGAAACGCCGATTAATTAAAGTTTAGCCAACTAAGAGTTCTAATTGGTTCAAGAGATTAAGAGCTGGCCCGCCTTTCGCCCGTCTTGCCCCTCGGCACTCCATTTAGACGGCTTTTTGCAGTTTGTTTTCGAATGTTAATTAACTTTAATTGTTGCCATACGAGTCATAACTAGCCTGTAATTAACATGCCAATTACTTCATCTGTATATGTAAGCCAGCGAGTGTGCGAGTGCTTCTATATTATATCAAGGAAATTGCTCCCCATCTAGAAATCTGTAACAGTGAAATTCAATTTCTGATCGAGCTGACATGAAAATGGATCACCTGAGACGGAAAACGATGTTTCCGTTGTGGAAAGTCTGCCTAAAGTCTTACTAAATTCTCTTATCACGTTGCTCGAGCAAACTCTATAATCAAAACGATCCGATTTGACAGTTTGGTCGTTCTCCCCTTCAGCTGTCCAAAAAAGAAGACCAGCAGTACACCTCCATTAGGCAAGCAAATGGCAGTCAGAATCGTCAGCATATTGGCAATTATAATTATAGTTCGGTGTCGCTTTTATGGCAGGAGGCCTTCAAATGCGATTTCGATTTCAATCGCTGTCAGCGGAATATTAGGATCGCGACGGCAGCCACTAAATCGAGCTCATCATGACATGTTAATCTAATGTGGGTATTCATTATGTATATTAGAGAGGATCTTTGGCGAAATTTTAGTTTTCGATAGTTATTTCTACCAATAATAGAGTGATATACGAGTATAGAGTTCATTTTTTGCGTAATAGAAGGCAAATTCGACTTTACTCAGATGGTTGCATCTCTTCTTTTCATTCACGTTTCTGTCTGCTGACCACCGATAAGTTTGTACATAAATTAAAGTTTGGTAATCAACATATTCAAAATTCGTTTAAGTAATTCAAATAGTGACACTACCACAATAGTGTCACTTTCCAAATTTTTGAAGCTTTACCGTTGAGGATTTTATGACTCCGATATTAGCATATATTTCGCAGACTACATTTCGTATTCAGATATGCGACGACATTTTTAATATATTTCATATAAAACTCTGGTCCAAACGGGAATTCCTCACTAGAGGGCTGTGAATCTAGACGAGGGGTAGTGGAGAAAGGGAAGGATTTTGGAGAAATTTCAGCGTCTGCCGGTGACCCCGTGACCCGGCTAAAAATAGCAAGAGGAAAGCGATACATTATTACCAATAATCTGCGACGGGGACTCACCGCAACGATTAACATAAAAATTGGCCCCAGAGCCGAAACGTTTTGCGAAAGCCACACTTAGCTGGAAGCCAGAGTTTAAGCTTAGATAATTAATTCACAATATTTTGGCAGCCGACACAGACAGAAGCTGGCTGCTCTGGCAGCGGGTCAGGGCCTTGGGTGGATTGGTGGGTTTAAGATCTCGCACAGAAATGGAAGCGTTCGTAATTGCGGACCCTCAATGTCGCCATTAAATGCCACTTAAGATCATGGGAGCGGAGGTGGACTGGAGGTGGGCTGGAGGCAGGCAGGACGGGCTGGGAGTAGCTGTACTTACTAAAATATTGCGTGCGCGTCATAAACTCGCGACAATGTCAGGCAAATATCTCGAATACCCCCGGTTAGTGCCAGCAAATAGCCTCAAGAGCCCCGACCCGAAGGTACACACAGACCCATCTAATGGCCGGCAATTTCCTTCATCAGTTCTAGTCGGTGCGAAAACAACGTCCACTATACATGCATCCAAGTGTATATAGAGGGTAATACCGCCCAGAGACGGTTCCTCTAAACACGCAGCCTGCGACGGAATCGAAGCGCCTACGTAATCCCCAGATATTATACCATACACTATGCCATACTATACCATACTATACAATACTATACGATAATGTACGAACGAAGCGGGCTTTTGTGTGCACTCGAGATTGTCAAGCATTGGGCAAATAAAATTGCGTATTGAAAGCGACATTATAAGACGAAATGCATTGAAATGGGAAAATCGAATAACGAGTCAATGCAACCGATAATGGGAGGAATAAATTATTCCAAGATGATTGGGTCGCAAAAAAACGTTTACAGAAAATAAAATATCTGAACTGATTGCTCACGATAGATACAACACGATAACGTGTTTAAAGTGTGACTTAAATAAATTTATTAACTAGATAAGCTCTTTCGAGAATATTTAGGTAGCTATTTTGTAAAATATATTTCAAAGGATTGCATTACTGAAGCATTACATAATTTGCAATTTAAAAAAACTTCTGTGTGCTTTCTTGGAAAAACTGGCATTGCCGCTTGACAAATAAATTTTAATGGCAGGCGATAGTTAGTCGGGGGAATTTCGTAATGCCATAGAGCCAAGCTCCGTTGAGGGCTTCAGCCGAGACTGCCAATCTCGGTTGTTGGCCTGCCCTTAGCCACCTCGGATGTTTAAAGATTTTTTCCAAACAATTAGTGTCAATCGCTTGGCAAACTCAAAATATGCAAATATCCATATACAATGTGCTGGGCTCTCAGTTTCCCATTCGTTAGGGATCTTCCCGAAAAACCGACACGTGAGGCTAAAAAAGTCTACCAAGTGACAGGGCAGTCAGTTTCAATCTCAACATTACTTTGTAAATACATGAGGCTAGAAAATAAGTAGATTAAAGTCTAAAAGTCATGGAAGTTCGCTCCATCTATTTAAAATTCTTGAATCATATAAAATGATTTATGCTTGCGTTGAATGCTCTCTACGAACTTCGATATAGCTACCAAATGGCTTCGCTACTTTATAATTTCCAAAATGGCTTGCCCCATTTTGACCCTCGCTTAGCATCTCAAACATTTGGCGAATCAAAATCGAGAGCTGTAACATAATAAGCGATAGCCGCCGCTCCACACAGTTGAAAGTGCAGCGCTTATTTCTCTCTGTGTGAGTGGGGTCTGTTATCGCACAGCATTCATTAATTAAAGAGCAGATGAGAGCCGAGCAGTTCGACAAAATGGTGGCCAGTGGGCGGCGCCAGTCGAGCTTTGCCCATTTAGATGATCAGGAATAATAATAGATCGTTATTTAAACTGAGCACTATTAAAGTAAATGTTGATGCAAGCTCATAATACTCCAATATAAAGATTCCTTCTCTATTGAGCCTAGCAAATTGAAATTAAATTCAAAACTGAAGGCAGCTCACCTGTCCAGTTGAAACCTCTAAGAGGACAAAGACCAGTAATATGATCTCCTTCTCGTCTGATCCCAGGCCTGATCCATTTTGGCCACAGGTCGCAATGTACAGTGAAACAACGTGCTCGGGAACCTGCATTTTGTCAATCTCTTCCTGTGATGGTCGATGTGGCTGAAGAAGTTGGATCGCTGGATCCGGGTCCCTTGATTAGAACTATTGCTAGTGATTGTGCTCAGTACAACTGAAGCCTCAGACTAGCTTTGGATGATCTGCATCTCAGGGCTGCACCGCCAGCGGTTGTGCCTGTAATTAAAAGAAAATAAGAAAGAAATCAGTGATTACGCAATCCATATGGAATACGGCAAACTGCAAAACTGCAAAGCTGCACACTTGGACTTTGGGCTGCATATTAAGCAAGCACTAATTACGAGTGCGTTCAAGAAATGTCAAACAAAACGAATCGGTTTGTGGCAGAGTTAAAGCTTGCCAAAGTAAAACCACTATAACGATAGACTTTACTATATGTGTGCTGTGTGTGCTTGCACTAAAAAAATCGAAAAGAAAGCCAAAGTCCGGTGATTTGCGCGAAACTTGGCAAAACGCTTGACACCGCGACATTTTGCATATGCAATCCACTGTCCGTCTGTCCGTCCGTCCGTTTGTCCCTCCGTCCGTCACATAACCCACGTGACGTTGCCAGTTTTCCCGCCACATTGCTGCTTTTCAGCTGCATTTGTAATTGGCTCGGAATGGAGCTTCTAAGACCGCTGACGTCAAAGGGGTCAAATTGAAATTAAAGTATTAACCTACGGCTGGCGATTTGAAATTTAATTTCGCCCCGTCCGCCAGGCTGAAAGCGAAATGCCAGTCGGAGAACGGACGAGAAATTACAGTGCAATTTTATGAGCATTTTTAATGTGAAAAGTGTTACTCTTAATGAAAACACAAGACCCTCAGAGTTCAAACAAAAATGGCGTTCGTGGGTTAATCGGGCGCGCAGGCGCAAGTCGCTCTTTGTTGCTTTTGTAGTTGTCATGACTGCTCTTTGCCGTAATTAAAATTTCAAATAATTCATACGTGCAAAAAGGCCAGCCTGTCATAATTGAGCCACTTTAAATGCTTCTAGTGTCGGATGTGATCAGATCGGAAGGGAAGCTGGCTTACAGTCCAACCTCCCCACTTTGAGCCCTAATGTTTCAACGCCAAAATACCAAAAAAAGTTTTAACAAAGTGGATTCTTTAATGGTATCTTTTTAAATGTATTATAAAAAGTTTCTCTCTAGTCTAATGTTTCAAAATGTAATGATAAAAAAAATTCTATATAATAAAAGTACTATTTGTAATAAAAATTACATAAATAAATTCAAAATTTAATCGTGGAAGCCAAATGCACAAAGATATACCAAAGCTAACGAGCAGCGTTATGAGAAAATACCAAAATTCCCAATTTCTAGAATGAAGTTGAATGTTGTGCTTACAGAAGTTGGACTGTAGCATAATGCCCTGCCTTTATAGTCTCCACTTGACTTGAAACTCGACTTGTTCGAGGGGCTTTATCATCTCGAAGAGCGACCGTGTCGTAATGAGGGATTGCGGTTATAATCTTGCGTCTTGTGCAATTTATGAAGTTTGCTTTTTACGGGCTTTTAACGTTTAACGTTTTTGCATCTTGCACTGCCCTTTGGTTCATTTTTTCCGTTAGCAGGAAGTCATCATCAATACAGGTTCCCACGATTTCTTACTCCCCAAAAGAACCACGGCATTCATAACCAAAAAGCCGAAACTGGTTCGTAAGTTTCTTAATTTTGACACTTCTCCGACCTCCGGTGTTAGTTAAACCGAAAAGCTGCGTTTACTATTGCCTCAAAGTGCCCTATTTCCTGTTCAAAGACCTTAAGCCCTTACAGCCCATTAAAGCCTGTTGATCTATGTATGTACATCAACCTTTCGAGAGTTGTATATGAGATGGCTTATGAGATGGTTTATGCGCTTTTAATTGATTGTAGTGGTAACTATGGAAAGATACGGTTATGCCAGAAGGGCAGACACGCATTGATAAGTTTCCCTTTCGTTGGTCACTCAATGGCAGATGGAAATGGAAAAGGTACTCCATTCGTTAATGAATGAATAACGGTAAGCGAGTCGCCCAATTAAGTAAAATAAAGAATGACCGAATAGACAAACGCGAAAGCGTTGCGGCCGTCATTAAAAATAAGAAACCCCAAACGCAGACTCTAACTGGAAAGCACACTACAGTGAGACCATCCCATATTGAACTTTAAATAACTTTAATAAAGTTGTATTTTTAATGCTAAGCTATAAGGCTTAAAATATTGTGTCTCATATCACAGAAATCAATAGAGATCAACAGCTTAGTTTTTAAAAACAAATGATTTTGATGGTTTAATGCGAATACTTCATTCTGTTAACGGTATACATTGTACGTATGTTAATCGCCCGATTATTTAAATATAGTGAAAAATGTTGCATTCTACAGTAGTTTGACTGACGTGTAGATCGATTTTCGGTTATTACACTGTGCGAAAGACAAAGCCATCAAGCCGCGATTAAATTCAAATTAGTGACAGGCGCAGCAGGAGTGGAATAAAAAGCTAATACCACAAGCAGCGGCAACAACTATTGCAATTAATGAATTGCTATCTGTGCCGATTGGTAAACCAGAAAGTGAGCAGATTTTCATTGTTGGTCGAATGTTTGTTGTATTTCGGACTGGCTTATTAAATTATGAATTTCGCAAGTTTCTTTTTTACGATTTTTGTTTTATGCATTGTTCCTCGCTTGCAAATACATACATACATATGTTTTGTTGTTGTCTCTGGCGTGTGCCAGAGACACAGTTGTTGTTGGAGCAACAGGAAATCTATGATTGCGCAAAATTGCTGGCGAGAAATGCCAATTGCCAAAGTTATTCGCACAACAAAAAAGTGGTAGAAAAGCGCAGTGAAGAAACGAAGGAAAATGTTTTGTGCTCTCGCTCTATCTGGATTTTTATCTCGTTCCCTCTTTTAACTGGATCTCACGCAAGCAACAAGTGCAACTCTGAAATTGCTGCTGTTTTGTGATTCTGCAAATAGGAAACCAGATTCAGCACTAGGCGATCTTCGAATACGCTTCAGCAGGTGAATTTCAAATTCATACCTGTCTGTTTTTTCCGAAGCAGCATGAGTATCAATTTGGGGTGGTATCTTATCTTGAGCAATTCAAATTACTAAGTAGAAATGTTTTCAAACCAAACTATTGGGATATTGATGAATCGAAATATTTGCACTTCTATTTGAATTTTCCTTTTAAATGAGTTTATCTGCAAAACAATGGCTTTAAAATTAAGGCTTTGTTGATTGACAAACTGTAGACGTTTCTAATGCAGGGTATTCATAAACAAGTTGTGTTCTCTTTCTCTCTTCATCTTAGTTTTGGGCTGCGCTAACTGTAAATTTGTTTTCACTTTGTTTAGCGCATCGCCTTACTGTTGTTTTTGTTAATGTCGCTCATTCATTTTGGTATATTTGATAGATTATTTGATTAACAGCAACAACAAGTGGTTCTCAATCGGATATTTCCCCTTCCCATCGACACTCTACTCTCCATCTCGCTCTTTTGATCTTTGTGGGATGCCACAGGTTTGTTGGTAAATGATATCTACAGCTTCCTCTTACTCCTCTTCCTCTGTTTCTTTGCTTTCTTACTCACTTTTTTCTCCCTCTCTCTCAGCGCGGCGACTTAACTGTTTTTACTGTTTTCTTGTTTTATTCCGTTTTTTTCCGTTCAACACGTTGTATACATTGCACTTGTTGGCTTTTCACAATTTTTGGTTTTTATTGCACTTTCTTTTCTCTGGCACACACATACACGAAAGCCCAAATGTGTTACAGTTACATTTGATTGAACGCCTGCAATTTTTGTTTTGAGGCCTTTTGAATAGTTTACTATTTTAATTTAAAGCCAGCAAACAAGTATTTTCGCCTTCTTCTTGACCTGTTGCTTCCACCACTTTGTCTTGTTGTCTTTTTCTAGTTTTTTGAACTGGTATGAGTGTGCGTGCAAACGTTTGAGTGTATGTGTTTGTCGGATCTGTTAACTTGTTTAGCCCGTCGCGCATCCGCTTGGTTTCAAGTTGAAAAAACAACTGATCGCCGCAGCGAAACGCAGGTAACCACGAAGGTAAATTAAGGTGAGCTTGGTTCTCTCTGCGGCGGTTGACTGAGAGCGAGAGAGCAGACCAAACAAGATTCCATCACGCACATACCAACAAAAACAATAACATGGCCAGCTATGAGTTTGCCAATAGGCCTTGCTGTAGTTGGCAACGCGGCGGAGAGAGTGAGCAACAGAGAGAGTTACACATACTCCGCTTATAAAGCTTGGCTTAAAGCAAAGAGTCAGTCCATTAGTTTCCCACGCTGCGCAAGACAGTTACGCTCAGTGAGCATGACCCGCGCTTTTCCTCTCTCTCTCTCTCTCTCTTGTTCCCTCTCGCATAGAAGTTACCTGTGCTGCTCCACCAACACACTTGTCCTCCAACACACACACCCACACACCTGTACACTGTTTGCCAAGCTCTTCTTCTTTCTCCTCCTCTTCGCTTGCTCAATTACCAACGGAGAACGGTGAATGCCCACGTAGAGGAGACTGCTTACCTGCGCGTACCTTACCTTTTGGCCAGAATCATGATTGCCAGCTATTGGCCATCATTTGTTAGGTAACTTAGTAGTAAATTTCACTGCTTTAGAAGCGGGCGATATACACAGAGCAAACGCAACAGGCGACGGCGACTAACTGGCTGACAACCGAGCAACGTAAACGCGTTTTGGTCTAAACGAGAGAGAAATAGGGAGAGTGGCAATAGAATTGAGAGCGCGCAAGTGTTGGTGTGCGTAGGCCGCTTTCGTTGGGAGCACCCGTGTCACGGCTCTTAACCACTTATCGTTATCGGAATGCAAACTCCTGTTTTAAAGGTGCAATATATGTAAATACTTTACTCAAATAATAGTTAAATTAATTTTTAAAAAGTAATCAATACAATTAATGGAATTCTCACAAACCTGGAGTTATAACAAACTCACTTTATTAAGCTACATATGTAACTTACCTTCTACTTTGAATCTATAAACAAAAGAGATCAATATAGTCGGGTTTCCCGACTATAAGATACCCTTTAGTCCGCCAGTGGGAGTGCAAACGAGAATCTACTCTACGAGTAAGTGTTACTTCACTTCTATACGAGCTGCGGCCTAGACCTCTCGATTAAGCCCAATAATAATAAAATAAACTTTCAAAACTTTTGACAGTGCACTTTACTTAATGTGTCGGTTTTTAAACTCCAGTCCCGGACATAATCTAAGTTAGTGCAGAGGAAAGGACACATTTAATATGTAGTTTTTTGGAATATGGCTCAATATAAACATATAAAATGGCATACTGATAGGGACAAAGAGCGAAGAAAATAGATCAATAGATCAAATAGAAAATAGATCACAAGATGATCTCGTTTTTGAAGCTGCGACTGAGCTCCTTGTGCGGCAATACAATGCTGTTCAGCAAGATTTTCTCGGCGGGCACCTGCACGAAACAGCCTGAAATGGAAAGAGGGTTTTAAGAATGTCATCACTGATTCAAAATACCTACCCAGTATGGTGATCGAGGGGTTCAGCTTGCCCTCGTTGTTGAACAGAGGTGGGTTCTCCATTTTGGCAAAGGGCTTGTTGGGATCCGGATCGCTGGGTGTGCCCTCGACTCGAGCCCAAGCTCCAATGGTGGAACCTCTGCCCACAATCGAGTGCAGCACGAGCGTATGGTCCAGGATCTGCGCCTGCTCCAAAACAATCGATTCACGAATGCGCACACCTGGTCCAATCGTTACTCCAGGTCCAATCGCCACATTGGGCCCCAGCTGGGGACAAGACATTGCTGTTAGAAACATTTATAAAATATATATTTAATTTATACCAACCACTGCGCTGTGATGAACAGTGGCACTGGGATGAACGTAGACGTCCGGAAGCACTGTGCAGATCAAGCTGCCGTCGCCCTCTCCGCGTTTGGTCCCCACGTTGGCCAATCTCTCGGGATGCGTTTTCTTGTACAGGCCTAAGTAATGACGATTGGCGTAGATTGCTGATCCAGCGGTCTTCAGCTGGGACCACCAATTGGGCACTGGCATGGCAAAGAGCTTATCGGTTCCAGCCAGGGGCGTGAGCACCTCCTGTTCCCACTTGATGTGCCCCTGCTCTCGTCCATTTCCATTTCCGTTTCCATTGCAAAATGCCTGGCAGCTATAGTCCTGACCTCTCGAGTGAAAGATCTGTGCCAACACCGTGAATATATCCATGGAGCAGACATACACCCCACAGTTGATAAAGGTGGACACATAGGAGCTGGGCTTTTCTACATAATGCGAGACAGCTCCGCTACTGCGATCAAAAACCAGACAACCGTAATGCAAGGATTGCTGACGTGTTGCCTCCGTAGACATGATGGTGACCAGAGCACTCGCAGGACGCTTCTCGTGAAAGTCGCACAGTTCCTGCAGCGGAAAATCAGCGCATACATCTCCGTTTAATACAAAGAAGGCTCTGGGATTGCCAGCTCTAATCTGATCCCGGAAGTGGTACATTCCGCCTGCAGTTCCCAAGGCAGTGAACTCCTGAAGGTACCTATGAATAGGGGCGGAGATCAGAAGCTTTCTTCCCATCAAAGTGCACCCACCTGATGTTGATGTTGCTGCTGCTGTACAGGGCCTGCATGTCGCCCACGAAACCCTCCATTTGGGTCTGCGGATAGTAGCCGATGATCAGGATCTCGCGGAGATCGGGCAGCTGGGCACAGGCCTCTATATGATGGGCGATTAGTGGACGACCGGCCAGTGGGAAGAGCGGCTTGGGCGTGTCCAGCGAAAGGGGGCGGAAGCGGGTGCCCTTCTGGGGACCGCCGATCAGGATAACGGCCTTCAGCATGGTGTGCGTGCAGCGGCAAGATGACTAATGGCGATCGATCAATTTGTGGCCAGGTTCTCAGTAAGATATATTTTCTGTTTACGTTGCCAGCTAGAATATACTCGGTTCCCGAACAGCTGATTGCGCTAACAGCCCTTGGAATAGCTGATAACAGACTTAACAGCACGCTGAACTTGTTATCTTTTAGATTTATGTAAGGTATTCCTTAGCCTTTTGAAACTGCAAGACCAAATTTAAAATATAACAATACCCGTTGAAAATGTATGGAACATCTTTCAAACCAGCTAATCTAAATGGAATATGTAATATTTGTTTTGATCGCTTAATGCCTAATGGCGTGGCAAAGTGGTATTGAAGTTGTCAATCAGCGGCAAAAACAGTTTATAAACGTATGCACTTCTGCCAGCTAACTGATAATTAAAAAGCGGTAACAAGAGATCTTGCCTTTATACAAATACATCGTTACGAATATACTGAGATAAGCAAACATTAACAGCAGTTCAATTATAAGTCCATGATATTTTTGATTAAGCGAATGCGCACTGTATCTCCGCTGGAAGAGTTTTACCCAACATCGCTGGAAAGACCTTTCGATGGGAAACCTCCAGTTATGTCTGCCCACAATTGAGTTGATTTTCCAGTATTTGATTTGGAACAATTCGATTTTAATCTATTTATACAACGAAAACCATTTAATAAATGTCTTTAAATACACGATAAGAACAAAGGCGAAGCACTGAATCAATGGACAGTTGTTTACAGGGTGTAAAGCAATACTCTGGCGGTTGCAGCAATACGAAACAGTGTCCTCGATAAGAATACGAGGAATTAGCGCACCAGATCCTCCGGATTGAACATGCCACGGGCGCGACGCAGGATGGAGTCCTTGCTGGCGTCGTACGGATGGTCCTTTGAGGGAATCTCCAGAACCGCGGGCACAGGCGATGTATGGGCATCGATCACATGACGAATGAGCTCCGCGCAGTTCTGGTTGATCAGAATGATGTCGATATCGTCCCGCTTAAGGAAACGCTTGAAACAGTCCTCCAATTCGCTGACGGCCGTATTTTTGTCGACCACCATGAAGTTGGGGTGGCGATTCTTGTTGATCTCGCCCACTCCGCCAAGCAGGAATCCCACGCAGGTGTCCTCGTCGCCGATAACGCTGATCAGTTTCCCCTTAATTGCCGAGTGGAGAGCCATTTTGATTGGTTTTTCTATATTTTTTCTGCGAGCGATGTGGACAGCGAAATTAAAACCTGACTCTGGAAAACGTACGGGTCAGCTGGTTTCTATCACATGACACAGTTGCGCTTGACAGCACTGGAAGGCGGCTAACAGCACCGCGGTGCTGTAGTATTTGGTATTATTACATCGGTTGCGCTGTGGCGTAACAGTCTGTTCATGATGTGTGACCATATAACACATCGGTTTTTGGCGCTTTTTAAAGAAATAAGAATACTGTTAAGAATTATATTAGTTAATGTTTATTATCGCTGATAGAAACCAGGTAATTGTTTTAAATTTATTTTGAGTTCCGGACATTAACGTAGGGTACCAAAATTAAATGTAGTATTTAACAAGTGCATTCAACATCCAAGGTTCTGAAAGTGTGCACAATTGATTGCTAATTACTTTTCGTACATCGATACCTATTTTTACAAAGTGCGTTGGCTTGATATGCTTGATAATTTTCCATAATTTTAAGCCGATATGCATTTTATTGAACGAACAACTCAAGCCGCAAATGGATAACATCACACAATTCACAGCAGTCGGCTGGGGATCAACGGGCTATAAGAAGGGCAGCGACGAACTTCAAATGAGACAAATCCACAGAAAGAACAAGACACTTGCTTTAACAATTTCTGGATCGAATTGCTCGACTCACAAATCTGTGCTGGCACCTCAGGCGACAGCGACAGCATTGGCGACTCCGGAGGACCCTTGTACACACATTGGTTGTATGGACCGATCTATAGAGCAACGCAGCTCGGAATCAAAAGCGGGGGCGAAAAAAATTGCTGGGGCACCGGTATCTACACCGATGTAATGGGCCACATCGACATGATCGAGCGCATTGTCCTGGACAATGCCGACATTGAAGTGGTGCTACCGACATTCGGTGTGCATTCGATTAACTCAATAATCAACCTGTTCAAACTTCGCGGCTAGAATCAATTCGACCGATCTGCCTGCCCTCACCAAGCAACGAAGCGGCGCAGAAGAAGTTCCAAAGGTGGGCTGCTGATCCTTCGCAGAAAATTATCACCGTTGGCAGGGGCATTCGGACTCACGTGGCGGTGCGATTGGCAAAATTACCAGGAGATCGGAGAGAGGCAGTTGTGCGTGGAACGACCTGCTCATCATATCCTGCGCTTGGGCAGTGGCAGTCCTTTGGTAAGCCATCTACCCCATGGAAACAGAGAGGCATTCAGCCTGGTCGGATTGGCCAGCTTCGGCAGGCGCCAGGACTTCGCTCCAGATGTCTATACCAATGCTTTGGGTTACTTAAAATGGATCGGAGATTCGGTGACGCTAAAAACAATCCTTTGATGAGTTACATACATATATTATATCGAAGAGTTATTTATATCGAAATGCGTTGAGTTTTGCGATATGAAAACCATTTGAAGTAATAAAGTTAAACTTTATATCAAGAACTTCATACATTGGAAGTCCTATTAAAATTATATTTTAACTAATTTAAATTTAAAATTTGATTTATGATTTATGTTTAGACAAGCAACTCTGAAGCTGTTTTAGTATTTATACAGACGGTAGTATTTTCCAGCACTCGCGGCCGGTCACACTGCAATTCAAGCAAGAAGCAGCACGCGCCGCAGAAATTTGCCAATAATTTTCGTCCTCGCAAGCGTCGCAAGAGGAGGCGTCGTGTGATGGCAATGGCAACGGGAGCAGCAGCAGCGGGTGCAGGAGCGTCGGTGGAGCAGCTGGTAGCCCACACACTGCAGGCGGCCACAAATCCGAGCCATGAGATTGTCCAGAAGGCGGAGGCGCAGCTGCGCGAGTGGGAGCAGCAGCCGGGCTTCTTTCCCACGATAGCCCGTCTGAGCATGCGACGAGGTGGTGGCGGCGACGGGGTGTCCAGCACGGAGGACTCGGAGGTGAAGGTGCGCTGGATGGCCGCTGTCTACCTGAAGAATGGCGTGGAGCGGTATTGGCGGCCGAATTCACGGCAGGAACTGCCCGCCGAGCAGAAGCAGCAGATCCGGGAAGTTCTCCTGCGTCACTACGACGCTGAGGAGGTGCCCCAGGTCGCCCTGCAGATAGCTGTGCTCCTGGGCCGCCTGGCACGCACGGATTACCCACGATTTTGGCCGGAACTCTTGCCGACTCTCATGAAACAGCTGCAGTCCTGTAGTCCGGATGGGGATTCGGCCCTGCAGCAGCGAATTCTTATTGTCCTACACTATGTCCTCAAGGCCCTGGCCTCACGGCGACTGATGGCCGAGCAGCGGGCCTTCGAGGAGCTGGGCTCACAGATATTTGGATATCTGGCGTGGGACATCTGGGCCCCACTTACGACGCGCTTTTTGCAGCTCGTGCGAAAGGAACAGGCCATGGCCCTCAATGCCCTCCAACGGGCCTATGTGGTGATGAGATCCCTGCGCAAGCTAGTGGTCTACGGCTGTGCCAAGCCGTACAAGTCCACAGACCACATGAACTTTGTGGAGCAGCTTTTTCAGCGGTTACGACAGTGCCTCGAGCTGCGCTATGAACTGAAGATGGGATCGGCCACGCCTGTCACTGCCACGATACTCACTGAATTGGAGCGCTTTGTGATTAAGATGATGAAGACCCTCAATGAACTGATGGAGCGGAATTCTGTATCCTTTGCGAGGTTCGTTCCGGTGGCCCTGGAGTTCAGCTTCCACTATGTGTTCCACGAGGGCACCGCCCTTATTTTCGACGCCGGCGATCGGATTAACTTTAAAAACTTTGCCATACAGGCGCTGAACATGCTGAAAGGAATCATGCTTAGCGGCAACGATAGCATCAGTGCTCTGCCCGAAGGTGGAGCTTCCATAGAGGATGAGCTGTTAGCCAGCGCTGCTCAAAGCCACGCCAAGTTCTTCACAGCGGAGCGAGTGACCTACATCTGTGAGAAGATCGTGACTCACTATTTTCTGCTCACTCAGCAGGAGTTGGAGGAGTGGCAGCAGGATCCAGAGGGCTATGACCAGGACGACGGCGGTGGTGATGCTTGGAAGTATGCCTTAAGGCCTAGCGTGGAGACCTTCTATTTCACCTGCTTTACGCAGCACTCGCAGGTTATGATCCAAGAGGTGCTCCGTTTCGTAAGACGAGCCCAGCAGCTGCAGCTTACCCCGGAATCTGACCTGAAGGTGATACTGCTGAAAGACGCCATTTACAATGCCGTAGGCCAGGCCGCCTTTCACTTCTTTAACAAGCTGGATTTTGGGGCCTGGCTCACATCCCAATTGCTGGCCGAGCTGCGCGTGGATGCTCCCAACTTCCGGATCCTGCGGCGTCGCATCATCTGGCTAGTCGGCCACTGGGTTGGCGTCCAGCTGCCCAGAGAGCTGCGTCCCCTGGCTTACGAAGCCTGCCTGCATCTCCTCCGGCCACAGGAGGACATGCCCACAAGGCTGGCTGCTGCCAGGACGTTGAATCTTTTGATCGACGATTTTGAGTTCATGCCGGAAGCCTTCCACCAATATTTCTCATCCCTCTTCGAGGCCCTCTTCTTGCTGCTCCATGAGGCCGGCGAGTGCGACACCAAGATCGTGGTGCTGGGCACAATGACGCTGCTTGTGGAGAAGATGAGCGAGTACATCGAGCCGCAAGCATTGCAGTTCATCGCGTACTTACCCCTCCTGTGGCGCGAGAGCGAGGAATACGACCTTCTGCGCTGCGCCATTATTGGCACCCTAGAGCAGCTGGTTCGAACGATACGGGATGTCCCAGAGCCCATGAAACCCTTCCTCTACAGCGTTATCGAGCTGAGTACGGATCTTCAGGTGAGTGATCTTATATAGATTTGTTATTTGCGAAAGGTCGTTTAATCCAGTTTTGCTATACATTTATTAAAACCTCTACTTTTAAATAAGAATGTCACTGGTGGATAATATCCAGTATCCACTTCGTAAAACTTGGAACGTCTGTGTAGACTCCTGGGCCGCGACACAAGTGGTGACCATAGCTAACAATTCCTAACTGAACGGTGCGGGTCATTTGGCCATTTGACATTTTCCTTAGCAGCGGACCGCCTGAGTCACCGCTACAGGTATCCACTAGCGCTTGTCCCGCGCAGAACTGACCGTATGCAAGGAAAGTGCGCAGGGATTGCGCACACTCGCTTTGGTCAAGCCTGTTCAGGCTCACTGTTTGCAGAACTGTGGCGGTGTTGATTAGATCAATATTACCCCATCCAGTGGCCTCGTAGGTGGAAGTAAAGGGAACTTGTCCTGGGTTTCGGAACAGGCAAACTGGTCGAATGAACGCTGCAAAATGAGAATGTACATCGCTTAGTAGAGGATCCATACAGCAATATAAAATTTGGCATCTAACTTGTATAAGAGACGATCCCATTAAGCTTAAGCAATCCTATGTCGTTGCGACCATTTAGTCTTTTTTTAAACATTATATGCACTTGGCCATCCTCAACGGTGTACTCCTTATACGTTGGAATGCAGAACTCGGATGTACAATCTATGCGTGTAGTTGTGTCGTATTCCCCAAGGCGAACCGTTCTGTGTTAGAATTTATTTAGTTTCAAAATCAAATAGTTCATTCTTTGTACTTACAACAAATGGTACTGGTCCATGCAATGCGCTGCTGTGAGTACAAATCCTAGAAAAAACCATGTTTTATATGATTTTAAAATCACAACATTTGTTGTTGAAACTACAAACTTTTTGTGATTAATGTGCCTGCACAAACTAAAGACGAGTTTATGTGCAAGTAGGCCATCCACGGATTAGATCCTATGTGTGCAGTTCTACCTCCTTTGATTCTATATGAGTGTGGAAAAGCGATTGCAGTTCCGCAATCGGGATCAATAAACTGGGCTCGCAATTGCTCTGTCAGGCAAATCAGAAACGCGAAAATAACAATCCACAGCGATTTCATCTTAAACGCAAGACTCGCAAGCTTTCTTTCCTTACAAATGCGCTAATCTGTAATAAATAATGCTATTATTACTCTCACATATTCGCTATAAAGCTATAATATATAATTTTATGCATCCGCAACCTCTTTTGTTACAGCAACACTCGCACGTCTACCTCATCGAAGATGGTATAATGCTCTGGCTGGCGGTGATTGGGAACTCGACTGCACTGACGCCCGAGCTACTTGCTCTGTGCGACCACCTTCTGCCGATCATCGAGATGTCGTCAGAGAACCTACGCACCGTGCTGCAGCTGATTCACGCTTATATATTGCTGGACGCTCAGGCTTATCTGAGTCGCTACGGCGAGGGTTTCGTGGCCTACTGCGTGCGCTCTTTCGAGGACATACGTGTGGAGGGAATAATCGCCATGCTGCGCATCTTCGAGACATGTCTGAAAACGGACGCGGCGATGGGACTGCGGCTGGTGCGCCCGGCACTGCCATTTGTCTTCCAGCAGGTGTGCCTTAAGCAGGAGTATCCCATGACAATGGGATGGTATCTGACCATCGTGGCTCGCACCCTGCTCATTGACCAGTCTGTTTTCATGTCGGTGGTGCAGCAACTGCCGCAAGCGGACGCTTTGGCTCGCATTCTGGACGTTTGGATCGAGATGTTTCCGAAAGTTCCCGATACGCACGCTGAGAAACGAAAGCTCTTCTGCCTGGCCTTCGCCTCGATCTTTGGCAGCAATGAACTGCTGCTTGCTCGCCTGCCTCATATCCTACAGCTGGTGGACGAAACGCTGGGCGAGGTGATGGACAAGCAGTACGCCGCCACCGAGGAGGGTGCGTCTAAGATCACGCCTCGCTTCTATGACTCATTGGTCATTCATGACGAGCACGAGCTGGACGAGCTTCAGCAGCAGCTGGGCAGTGGCGGCGGCGTCAGCGAGGACTTCCACACCAAGGGCTACCCGGCCAAGAGCTACCACGACGACCGCCACCGGCAGCTGGTGCTGAAAGACCCCGTTTACAAGATCCCCCTTACCGAGTATCTCAAGTGGCAGATGCAGTCGCTGCAAGCACAGCTGGGATCTCAGCGCTACGAGCAGGTGATGTGCTCCGTGGTTCCCGAGGTACTGGAGAGGATTACCATGTACATAGAGCAGACTGTGCCCAAGGCTTGTGTGGTGTGCGCGGGCTCCGGATCCGGCTCCGGATCGGGGGCGCCTACGGACGAGACGCTCTCCGAACAGGTCGAGTCCGGCTGATTCCGGACTGCTGTGCTTTAAAAGCTTTCTACGCTAAGTTATTAATGTATTTTGTATTGAAATTATATATTTTTAATTGTTAAAAGCTAGGTTTCGGTGTTAATCCACCGCCGGTCTCCGCTCCATTTTGCCCCTAAGCAGCGCACATATCGTTTCCTCCTTCTGCTGTAACTTATGTCGCAACTTGTCCATTTCCTCTGCGTTCCGGGCGTGCAATCCGCGCAATTGGGACTCCTTGTGCTGGACCAGCACCTCCAAGCGCCGAACCGCCTCGTAGGTATCGCGCACCTCAGCCTGTCCTGCCTCCAGCTTTTGGGCCCACTGCAGCGCCATTCTCAGGCGCGCCTTTAACCGATCTCTGCCGTGCTTGGCCTTCTCCGTGCTGCGGACCAGTGACGCAGCCCGTGCGGTAGCGGCTTGAAGCTGTTCCTGGAGGGCAGCTCGCTCTGTCGCGTGCTCCTGCCGCAATTGCTCCAGCAGCGCTTTGCACTGGTGTAGTGCTTCGGATTCGGAGGGAACATGGGGAGCAACCGTAGCGGGAGCAGCCGATGAGGCACTTTTGAGCGCGGCTAGTTCAGATTTAGTGCGCGCGTAGGCCGCCTGCAGGTGGTCCATGTCCAGGAGCAGCGTCTGCATGCGCTGTTCGTAGCAGTGCATCACCTCCACCAGCTTCTCCTTGGCCAAGTCTGTCTTGCGAGTTTGCGCCTCCGCTTTGGAGCGGCAAACCCCCAATTGAGCCTGCAGGCACACACGCTCCTCTCGCCAGCCGCCGAGATCGCGACGCAGTTGCTCCTGAGACTGCAACTGTTGGGAATTACATTTAGGTAAGATGAATTTCGATTTGAATGGCGGATCATTGCGTCCTTACCAGCTTTGTGTTCTCCTCCAGAGCTCGCTTCAGTTCACCGGTGAAATGCTCGAACTCCGTGTTATATTGAGCCAAAAGAGCGTCCTTATCCCTTAGAGATTCATCGTAGGCCTGCAGAAGTGGACCCAACGTGTGAGTGGGCAATGGCGGATACGGGGCAGCTGACGAGCTGGCTTTTGCTGATGCTCCACATGGAGCCCCATCCCCGAGACGCCTCTGATCCTGGTAACTCTCAATTTGCACGTTCAGCCTGAAGACGAGTGTCTTCAGCATGTCAACGTCGCCGGCCAGTGTTCGATTCTGGCCAAGAACGGTGTCCAGACGCTGGCCAAGCTGCTGACAGCGGGTGCAATTGGCCACCTGCTGTTCCGCCTCCGAAAGACGCCGCTCCAGCTGGCCGCTGTCCTTGCGTAGTTGGTCATTCTCCTTGGCGAACTGGTCGTTGTACCGATGCAGGGTGGCTAATCGCTGCACAAGCTGTTCCAGCTGCTGCTCCTTGGCTTGCAACTGATTCATATAGTTATTTTGGGATGTATTGCAGCAATCCTATGAGCTTACCAGCGTGTTAAGAGAGCGATCCTTTTTACGCTCTTTGTTGGCAGAACCCAAGTTATCCTGTCGCTTTACTTCCACCTCCACGCTTCGTGAACGGCGATTAAAATTGCCCGAGAGCGTCTGGAGAACCTTGCGGTTCCTTTTGGGATGCGGCTGCTGCTGCTGCTGCTGCTCCGGATCTGGCTGATCCAGGTCCGTAATCATCACATTTCGCGTGCTCATTGTGCCAACTTGACTATCCGAGCCCTGACACTTTCTGCCTGGCCTGCTTGTAAACAATATGGAAACCACACCCGCACTAACGCCCGTGTCCTGGCCACGTTGCCATGGCTCCTGGTCGGGTGTTTGACCCCGTTTTTCGACCAACCTGTCAGCCACCCTCTTCCGGAAAGAAATACCTGTATTAGTTACCTGTTCTACTCACCAAAATATGTTGAAAAAAGCGAGCATAAGTAAAGCATTTTTGAAGCTTGGCATTTAACGGGTATCTGATAGTCGAGCCGCTGGACTATAAGTCTTATACTCCTTATTGTCTAATGGTGGACAATAAAAGTAAAAATCTTATTAGGTAGATTCCATTTGGTCAATTTTAAATATTTCCTTGACTATCTCCTTCCGCAACTGTTGCGAGTACGAGGGAGAAATTTCAAAATTATTTTGAAATTGAAAAAGGAAATAGAAATTGGCAATCAATAAAAGTTTTGTTCACTCAGCAGTAATCTATGTAAATGCTAACATTTATTTTAGTACCAACTTATCATCTTATATATAGTATTTTAAAAACAATATAAATACAATGTGATACAATTTTATATGGGTTCCTTAAGAATAATTGCACTACAAGAGTAATCAGACATAGTGTTTGCTTTATAAATTTCAATAATTGCAAATGTGTTGCTGAGATAAGGTTCTTAACAACTATATGCGTTTATAAATATGGTAAAGCACACTTAAAGGGCAGTCTGCTGTCAGATCGTACAGATGTGGGGCGCTATTGTAGCGATCACAGTTCTTGTCAGTGGAGTCCTTTGTTCTCTGGCCAATGGGGAATACTTGGAACCAAGGTGCGGCGTTACGGGTGCGATGCTCGGTTTCAAAATAACCGGAGGCACTGCTGCGAAAATAAACGATAATCCCTGGATGGCCTACATCCATACCTCCGTCCGTTTTATCTGCGGAGGAACTCTCATTACCACGCGTAAGTATGTGCTGGCAGTCGAGTACTCGAGCGATGACCACAGATTCCTTCAACAGGTTTTGTCCTGACAGCAGCGCATTGTGTTAGAGACGGAATAGCGATGTAAGTAGCGAGAGAACTGAGATAATTTATAATGAAATTATAATGAGTCAACAATATGTATATAACACTATTTTTTGCTATTTTAATTTATAATCTAAAACACATTAATTAAATATCTGTTTGTACGTATGTACATACATGTAATTTTACATGTCATTTTATATGTCATTCTACATCCCACTTACATGTCATTTTACATGGCATCTATGGCTGTTTCCCATCTATTCCGTTTGAGTAGAAAGGTGCGACTCGGGGAGTACGATGATACCACGACAGAGGACTGCGACAATAAGGTCTGCATCCCAAGAGCTGAGGAGTACGACGTGGACATGGCAATCCGGCATGGAAAGTTTTCCGGGCGACGAAACTATAACGACATCGCGCTGCTTCGCTTGGCTGCATTTGTGACATTGAAAGGTGTGATTGAATTGAGTCATCTCCATTGGGCCAAAATACTCAGTATCGTTTTGCAGCTCACATCATGCCCATCTGCATCATTTTGGATACCTCGAAGAGGGAAAAATTCGATAGCGTGCAGCAGTTTATTGCCACCGGCTGGGGTGTCACTAAAACGAACAGGACAGGAGGTGCTCTGCAGACCACACATCTCCAGCGCTATGATCCAGCCTATTGCCTCCAAACCCTCGGCAGGAAGGTGCAGGAGAACCAATTCTGCGCCGGACGCGTTGGTAGCGATACGTGCAACGGGGATTCCGGCGGCCCGCTCCTCCAGAACGTGAAACACATGCACAAGATGCGTGCCGTACAATTCGGAGTGGTCAGCTACGGCATCGAGAATTGCTCCGGAATCGGGGTCTACACCGATGTGTACAGCTATTCCACTTGGATCGCCACCGTAGTGTACCAGAAAACCCATGTGCCGGCACCATTTATACCTAGCATTTGATCTTGTTTCAATATGAATTACTAATCAATTGTAAAATAGTTGTATTGCGTTAGAGAAATCCTTTTTGGGGAAGCTTGTATTTTGCTTGCATTTTCCTTTTGCAGTTTATCAAACGATCGAGGTCGCATACTACAGATATTGTGTTTGTGTACATATACATAATAATTTCTTTGGAAACAAGGATTAAACTGTATTTCGTTCTGTATTGCATTTAATCAATATGTTTAGTTTCGTTGGAAAAATACAAAGTATACAGTGAGAAAAATCGGAGCGCGTTCAAAAAATGCTAATGGATCACCTGTTCATATTCTGTTTAGTAATGTCGTTGAGTGTTTGAATGTAAGCTATGTAAACTATTTTCTTGAAAATTAATGTCTTAAATTCCATTATGAAATTTGTGCCAATTGTCAAAGTCAAATTAAAACAGCTTGACTGAAACAATTCTTTGCTGTGGAGGGAGTGGCATGTTCAATTCCAAGGAATCTCAACGGATTAATGCAGCTGTATGCCCATTTATTGATTGACGCTAGTTGTAATGGGCTCAGTAACCAAGTCGCCGTTTAGCAGGATGAGCACTTTTCTCGCATCGATTCCCTTTTACATCTACATGTGCGTCTGCCTGATTCTCCAGGAAGAAGTGGCCGCCCAATTCTTGACTCCGAATTGCGGTTTATCCTATGAACCCAATATGGCCACTAGAATAGTTCACGGCAAGGAAGCTTTACTAAAATCGGCTCCATTTATGGCCTATTTGTACAACAACTCGAAGCTCCACTGTGGCGGAACGATCATCTCCAATAGTTCGTATTACGAAGCTGTCTAGTGACTGCTATGACCTCAGTCATAACTAACTAATTCAATTGCAGGGTACATTCTAACGGCTGCTCACTGTATGCGGACCTATCTGTAAGTGTGCCACATTTCTACTGAGACATCCAGCTTGGCAAGGTTTTTGTTAATCCGATCTAGGAAGGTGCGACTGGGGGAACACGATGTTACCAGAAACCCCGACTGTCAGGGGATCTCTTGCTCTCCACCTGTCGAAGAATTCGACATCGTTTTGGCAACAAAGTACAAGGGCTTCGATGGCAGCCTGGCCAATGATATTGCTCTGCTCAAGCTGAGCAGGCTCATCCGTTTTAATGGTCATTATACAGATAACAATCGAAAAGCTAGCTTTATTTAAAAATAACCATCCTGCTTCTCAGCCCACATACAGCCGATCTGCCTGATTCTTAATCCGGCTGCAGCGCCCAATGTGCAAGAGTTACAGGCTTTTGGATGGGGCTACAACGAAATGGGGCAATCCGCCAATGTGCTCCAGACCACGTTTCTAGTCCGCTACGCCCTCAACTACTGCAGATTGATGCTGGAAAGGCCTATCACCGTTAACCAGCTGTGCGTCGGGCTTAAAGGATCGGACACCTGCTCCGGCGATTCCGGCGGACCTTTGGTGACCAAGGTGAACTACGATGGAGTTTGGCGTTACTTGCAGCTGGGCATCGTTAGCTATGGCGACGCATTTTGCCAAAGCCCGGGCGTGTATACGTATGTTCCGCACTACATTAGATGGATCCAAAATGTTATGCAGACAAATGGGCATTAAACTCTTCTAACAGTGTATAAAATGTTAAAGCCTTGAAAGTAAACGTGTGTGAAGCAAAATTATTGATTTATCCTGTGTTTTCTCATGAGCTTTGATTCCGCATAATTCAGTGGCCTTACACTTTTAGCGATACATACGTATACTTCTTGATAATCACGGATTCCCAATAACGACTTGATAAGACCAGCATGGTGCATACTTAACTATCATCGTCAGTTGCATTCAGTTCAGTAGTTGCAAAACAGTCACTCGAAATGAATACATCTCCCGCTTTGTTTGTCGTCTTCTATGGCCTGATCCTCCAGCAGCGGATGTTGGATGCCCAGTTCCTGAATCCGCTGTGCGGGATCTCCTATGAGCCCGTTGCGGGCAAGAGGATTGTGAACGGGAAGGAAGCTGTGCTTAGGTCCGCTCCATTCATGGCCTATTTGAGTATCAACCAGTCGAGAACGCGTTGCGGAGGATCGATCCTAAACTCAAGTTAGTTATTCAAAAAGCGCACACTAATAACATATTTGAATGGTACATTTAACTAATTTTAGGATACATACTAACTGCCGCCCACTGCGTTGTTCCCGATCTGTAGGTTCCGGTTTTTTTCGCACGATACTATTTTCTCAAGCTCTTGATCTTTCGTTTTAGGCGGGTGCGACTGGGGGAACACAATTTAAATTCGGATCCCGACTGCCAGGGACAGAATTGTTCTCCCCGTTCTGAGGAGTATGGCATTATGAAAGCAATAACCCATCGATCATATTACCAGGGCACCATAGCCCACGACATCGGTCTCTTAAAACTGAACAGGAGTATTCATTTCGATAGTAAGTTATTCCTCAGTTATTATAGCCGTTACTCCTAGTGTAGAAAAGTATCTACATTCGTTGAATAAAAGTGTATGTATCTTGCTTAGGATTACCAGCCGAGTCGAGCTGGTCATGTCCGTATAAACGTCGAGATCTCACGAACTGTAAAAGCTAGAAAGAGATCAGGCAAATTTGTTAGCTGATTCTATTCCAACGCCGAAACGCCGATTTTAAGAAAATGTTTACGTTTTTTTCATTTTATTATTTGTATCCCCAGTTTCTACCCGTATTCCACAAAATGTTGCAATTCCTCGTTCGCACTTCCACTAGCTGAGTAACGGGTATCTGATAGTCGGGGAGCTCAACTATAGCATTCCCTCTTGGTTTTCAACTATTTTTAACTTTCTACTGCCCAGTTCATATACAGCCGATTTGCATACCCATAAGTCCCGCTGTTGTGCCCAGTGTGAGTAGATTTCAGGCCTTCGGCTGGGGAGACACCAAAAAATATGGAATTGCCCATTTGCTGCAGACTACGGAACTGCGGCTATACAACGCCACCTACTGCACGAGGAGTCTTGATGCGCGTATGAGCGGGAACCAGTTTTGCGCCGGCCATGAAGATCGGGATACTTGCTATGGGGACTCCGGTGGTCCTATGGTGACCACTGTCGATTTCGACGGAGTTAAGCGCTACCTGCAACTGGGCATCGTGAGCTCTGGCCTAACGAGTTGTCAGGGCTTGGGACTCTATACATATGTGCCAAATTACATTAATTGGATTCAGAGGGTAATGCAGATTAGTGGGTTTTAAATGCTGAACGATCTTCTTAGCTTGCAATACTGTTATATTACCGATCTAATGAATAAAGAACGTGTATTCAACAAAATCTAATATTTATTCATATGTTTATTAGCACGTTTTCTACCCTGCGATGGCTATGCGATTTCCCAGTAATATTTCGATGTATTTTCTTGTAATTCCTGTAATTGACCTCATAGCCGTCGCTTCGAGTCGCTGATAAGGCCTGAAGCTACTCTGCAGAGCGTGGCTTAAAAGGGCGCTCAATGCGAAGTGATTTCTTCGAATTTCAGTATGAACGCGCTGATTCAATCGGAATGAACGCCACAATAGCTATCGCATTGCTCGCCGCCAGTCTGCTTGTTTTATGTTCCAACTCCGGATCGGGTTATTATCTTCACGAGCAATGCGGTCTTATGCGCGAACGATTTTCAGCATCTTTGGGTCCTTGGACGGCTCTACTGCACCAGAATGGAAGCATCTTTTGTGCCGGAGCACTGATAACTGATGGTATATGCTATATATGGTAACTCCCATGTATGTAAACCTCAATCCATTTGTTTCTAGCGTTCATACTGACTGCGGCGAGCTGCATTCGAGCAAACACCGTGTAAGTAATTTAATCTAAATTGAAGTGTGATTAAAAGTACACTCATTCTTTTTCTCGCAGCAAAGTGCGCCTGGGGGAATATGGTAGATATTCCAATGAGCTTGCGGAGGATCACTTGGTTCAAATGTCGCTGAGGTACCGAGTGTTCAATAATGCATCGCTAGCCAACAACATCGGTCTGCTGAAACTAAGCAAAAGAGTGGAGCTCAAAGGTGTGTGTTTGTTTAGTTAAGCCAGCGCAAAACCCGTCAACTACGAGCCCTAACTACGAGTTTTCATCTTTCTCACAGCATACATCATGCCCATTTGCATTGTCCTTGGCCGGCGGCAGCAGCCATCAGCCATGCACTTCATCGGAACTGCCTGGAGTGAAGACAGCACTGAGTTTCTCACCAAGGAGCTCGTACCCATTGTCATCCGGCTTAAGCCGGGGATGTGCAACAACCTAGACTTGTACACCCAGTTTTGTGCTGGCCACTCGGGGAATTCGAGGTCCTGCGACAGTCTCACCGGCTCGCCGCTGATCCAGAGCTCTAGGTATTGGAACAAAAATCGGCACGTGCAGTTCGGCATTGCCACTGTGAACGACATGGATTGCCAGGAATCGCAGAGTTACACCGACGTCTTGAAGTTCAGCTGGTGGATCCAGGATGTGTTGTTACTGTTCAACAATTATATCTTCGAGTATAGGCCTAAACAGAGTTATGTTGTAGGCGATTATATTACGGATAACTTCTGATTTCGCGAAACTTTACTTGCGGCAGCGAATAAATAAAAGAAAATATACTTCCATTGGTTTTTGCATTTTTTAATGCTGCAATTTATGCATACTATAAAAACCAGTAAAAATGTGTATTTCCTAAAATGTATAAGGAATAATATATACTGCTTGCGCCGATGAAATTCCTCATTGGTAATGTACAAAAATAACATTTTGCGGAATAAAAGCAGCGATAAGGCGCACTGTTCTGTATACTGCAGCAGTCCAAGGATCTACGTCACTATTCTTGGAGGAGGGCTGCGGAGTAGTGGCTCAAATAACCTGCAAATTCGTAAGTGGCAAACCATCGGGATCCCCAAGGGGTCCCCAAGGTCGAATCATCTCGATCTGCGGCAAGGAGCGGTATGTCCAGATGGGCATCACCAGCACGGACGTAGATCGATATGGCAAATGGATCAAAAAAGTAGATGAGTATGGACGGTGAATAAAATACTGCACCATTGTATTCGATTGAATTTTTGTTTGACAAAAAAAAAAAAACAAGTTGTGCATCCAAGATACGATTAAACTAAATTAGACGTAGCATTTAGTAACTAACTTGATTAAATAAAGTTTAAAGTAAATCAAATGAGAACTACAATTTTTACTTTGTTCTTTTGCTAGCACATTTCCAGAAATAGCACCCGCGGAATCCAGAGGAATCCAGACTCTGAAGCGAATAAAAGCTACAGTAGCTCCTCTAATGATCAGTAAATGAGTATGACCCGCTGCGCAATGAGCAGCTTCATCATTGGAGGCGCAGTAATCGGCTGCTTCTGGCTCCGCGTCCAATGATTTCAATTGTTCCTGGAAGGGAATTGCGGGGTACTGCACAAAATTTTCAAACGAAGTGTAGATGCCAAGGAACCGTGGATGGCCCTTTTGATGACTTTGTTCACCTTAGTACTGGGCCATCTAAAACAGTGGCAATTTGTATTAAGCCAACTTCGCATTTGTGATATGTAATGTAGAAAACATTCGATTCTACAGTGTTGGTTGAAAACCAGGCTAAGCTTATGTAAAATTAGGCTGATGTACGTAGACTGATTTATTATTGTGTTGGGATTGTGTAAAATTAATATAATTGAAAACTATTTCATTTTATTTCAATTCGTTCTTTCTATTAATTTTTTATTTTACTAAGTAGCTTATTAATATAATTAAATTCCGTAAAAACAAGTCGTATGTACCAATGTTCTTCATATCACCAGTAACTATTTTGCTCGAAAATTTATTGCTCGAAACACTTGTTCCAATAATAAAAACGAGATTGCTGATATTAGCTCAGGTCAGCTTCTAGTGTGTCAGGGATAAGGAAAGACATTCGTGCTCAAGTCGTTTGAATTTGCCCCACTCATGCACATTATAAATGTTTTTTATAAACAAGTTCGGATCGCATTAAATTGCAACCCGTTTTGCGAAGAGTGCAAATTGCTTGCTAATCGCTATTTCAGACCCCTTCCGATCTCAAGCCACATATATGGAAGTTGATGGAAAGTAAACAATTCAATCGATTTAATTGCAATTAATATTTTATTTTTAAACTATAACTAATGATATTTATTCTTTCTAGATGCTAACATCATAGCACACACGTGTAAGTTAGATTAGTTATCCTATTTGACGAGGGGTTGAGTTTTACATAATTATGTTCATAAATCCTAACGTTATTTGCCAAGATAATAAACTCAACCGGTTATTCTGGTGCATTTTCGAGCGATTTGAGCGATTTGATTGCTTGATCGGACATCGGACTAGGGTAAATCGATCTCCAGAGAGATGCCACGATGGAGCTACTGCATGGTGTGTCTTGGGTGGATGTAGTGGGAGTTGCCGGAGTCGTTTTCCTCCCGGTAAATGGCGGTCATCAGGAGCAGCAGAGTGCCGGCGATTACGGCTGTGAGGGCTTTGCCAATGAATCGAATGTGCTCCATGTTCTGATGCTCGTCGACTACTTGGGCGTAGGAATTAGCAATCTTTGCGCGTCTGGCTTTGAAACGTTACTGAACGCTCAGCTTGATAGCGAGCGGAATTTATTGCAGCTCCAAGCGAGGGTGTGGGTGTTTTCCCCCAGCTGGCGATTAGAATGTGGAATTGCCGCGGTAAGGGTAGTTTCCCCAGCCACCGGTTTGGAAATGCCCCAATCCCAATTAGTTAGTGCCACAAAATGCTGTATTTATGCACTCTGCAGTCACAACAAAGCGATTACTCCTCTCAGAACGAGATCGCTGACTGCCTCTGTGCGTTTCGCTATAATTAATTCAGCTAACACATTTTGGCATCGTCAACGTGCCAAGATTGCAAATCAGAAGCAATCGGTTGAAAGACGAGTCGACGGCGCATTTTCTTGGATCATTGCTCTTTAAAACTGGCAGAGACTGGACTCGAGGAATCTGGAAGCATCGATCAAGGTAGGGACCTTCTTTTATATGCATGTCATTGTATCCACACTCACCTAACATATCGTTGGAACATGGGACTGTTGCAAAACTGGAGGCAACAGCGCCACATGTTCTGCGATATCTTTCGATACAAAGAAAGAGTATTTACGGCGAGACTACTCGAGATCCGAATGGGATTCAAGGTCCAGTTGAGGGGAATATCCCGCTCGATGTGCTGCAAGTGCGGCATCTCTCGATGAGCTCTCGATTCGGACTGATGACCAAGGAAAATATGATCTTAGGTAGGCGAAGGCAGCTGCATTTTCTTCGCGCCTCCAGATGCCTAGGGGTAGGTCATGTCTTTGTGAGTAGGACGGGTGAGGTTCAAATTCTGGTTACCTACCAGATTCGCATTTTAAGTAGCTGGTATCTATTATGTTAGCTGAAAACAGCGTGCTATGATTAAAGAAAGAAAGACATTTTAAAAGAAATGTGTGTACTCTGTGTTCGCTCTTTGAGATACATTTTGCAGTTGCTGGACTGCAGTATTACTTGTTTCTCTGTACATTGAATCGCTGTAATCACGCTAGGCGGCCTGCAACCAGATAACCGAGAAAGATGCATTAAAGCCTGAACTGGATTCTGATTCTGGATTCAGTTCACAGCTGAGCTTGGTGACGCAATGACGGTTCTGCGATTGCTGATCCTCGCAATATGCCTCAAGCTGGGGCAGCAATCCTGGCAAGCAGATGCATTGGGAAACCAAACGAAGAAGCCCTGTAAGTGCCACCTGATGGGGGGCGACCTAAAGTAACCATTCCCTCCACCAGATCCCACATACTGCACTACGTACGATCAGAAGCCAGGCAAATGCGTAAACTACAAAGATTGTCCGTACATCGCGAACATAGTTTCGAAGCCAAAGGGGCAGCTGACCGCCAAGGACTTGGAAATAAAGAGGAATGCCCTATGCTCGTCAAATTCCAAAGTGAGAGGTCATTCGACAAACCGAGATACATTACTGTGAGCCTCCAGTCTTCCACAGAAAATCGTCTGCTGTGAGGAATTCATCAACGAGTCGGGCATGGAGCTGCTGAAGGCCAGTGAGAGTTTGTGCGGAGAATTCGGGGATCAGAAGGTCACTGGAGGGAGCGAGATACAAATGGGATCTCGACCCTGGATGGCTTTGCTTCAGTTCAATTTGTCAGATCCCTATGAGAGGCTATCCTTTGCGTGCGGTGGCACTTTGATTACACCACGTACGTATTTTGAGCACCGAAAATAGGAGTCCTTGCTAATTTTTTGCCTTGAGCAGGCTACGTCCTGACCGCGGCCCACTGCTTGAAGGGTTCATTGTAAGTATTACTGAACTATGGTGTGCTCATTACAATATAGATACATATATGTGTAACACATATCGCTGAAGTTGATTGACTCATTCCACACAGGAATTCAGTTCGATTTGGAGAGCACACAATCTCCACGGAGCGAGATTGTAAGAACTATGCCACAAAAGTAATCTGCCTGCCTCCTTACCAGGATGTACCTGTCCAAGAATCCGTTGTCCACGATGGATACGACGATGACATGCTCCACTATGACATAGCGCTTCTCCGCCTGGCAAGATCTGTCGAGTTCACCCGTGAGTACCTGACACCCCAACCAGTGTCACTATATCGATTTCCCAATTGCATTGCACTGCAGAGTTTGTCAAACCCATATGCTTGCCCCTGTACGAGGAAGTCAGGCAGAGCATCTGGGACGAGCGAAGACCACACCAAAAGGTTACCGGCTGGGGTATTTACGAAGAGAATATGCTATCCGATGTGCCCAGGGAGGCCGACGTGACCCGCCTGAGTCTCGACCAATGCTCCGTGGGTCGGAATACAACTTTGCTGATCGGTAATCAACTTTGCGTCAGTGCCTACCAACAGGACAGCTGCCAGGGCGATTCCGGCGGACCCCTAATGTATCCGTACCTCTACCTTGGGCAACAGCGATTCGTCCAGACGGGCATCGTTAGCAAGGGACCCACGAGATGCGGCGCTGGACAGTCGGCCATTTACACGGACGTTACTAGATTTGTGCCCTGGATAACCCAGAATATAAAGTCCTAAAGTGCTGCGCATTTCATTTTGATGCAATAATATAATAAAGTATCACATTTATTGCCTTACTTCGAATTTGTTAATTACTTGTTATTTCCACTGTCAAGTTATTTATGGCGCAAGGAAGGTTATTAAATAGGTCACATTGATAAGATAATGCATACACTTTAACACAGGCAGATGGGAAAAACAACTTAAGATCAAAGTCCTTACTGCTGATCGTTTTTGGGCTTATCAAGTGTATTGGAATTAATTGTACCCTTAGTTTGTTGATGTTTTACTGCAGATACTTTCGAGCTAAAGCGTTTGGCTATCTACGCCGAGGGCATCCACTAATTGGGCAATTCGTTGGGCTCGCGTCAATTTCCACGATACGCAGGACAAAGCCGTGATGAAGAAGCCAATCGCTGCAAGCCGAAAGTTCAGCAAGGTAACCATCCATTTAAAGCCTGAAGTTACTCACCCATCAGCAGAATGGCCTCGGAAGTCTCATCCTGCCAGGCTTTCGATACAACGCACAGCAATATGAATCCGCTGAGCAGGCAAAAGGATCCAACTACTACGGCCAGTGTTATGAGTATGATCACTGGATCATTCAGAGGTCCGTAGTCGAAGAGCGTACGGCAGAGGGACGGTTTCCGGGGCATAGAAGTGCCACTATTGCATAATTAGATGTCAAACTATCAGATTGCGTTTTCTTTGCCAATACCGTGCACTACGAACCAGGCTTGTGAGTAGGTGGGCAGAATGGGCACAGCTCTGCACTCCATGGCGCTCCTGATGAAACTAAAGTTGGAGCTCCACACCAATACATTTGGGTGGCTGGCGCGGGCCCTACTTCTCCACTTTCTAAATTTAGCCCTTAGACGGCTGACGATCGCAGACGCGTGTTTGAGATTGGAGTTAGGGCGTCACAATCTCTATTTATAGCCATCTAGGAAATGGTTCGATCCGGCGGAACCAGCGGAACAGATGTTTGAGTTCGGCTGGCACTTCTTCAGTCTATTCAGGCAGTGCGTCTATTTTCGTATCTATTTCCTTTGCAGAGTTCAATGCTCTGTGCTGTGAGCTGAAGAAATCGAAGATCCCGAGATGTCGTGTAATGCAATAAATCAACTTCATTACTGCCTCAGAAAAGCTGAAGGGGGCGTGGCAGGGGCGAACAAGTGCGAATCATTAACTCGATGTCTCGAAGTTCACGTTTCGCATGTGCCAAGGTAGCGTTGACAACCGACACGCGCACTTTTCCACCCGCATTTTCCGCCCGCATTTTCCGCCCACCTCCGGCGTAGTTATAGAAATATACTTGGCTGCTGCATTCAAGCGAGCTGTAAATTATGCAAAATAACGACGTCAAAGTTTCAATATAATGAAGCCAACAGACTGGCGGGTTGGGGCCCACAGGTTGGGGCATATTATAGTCTGAAATTTCATCCCTAATGTTTCTATGCCATTAAGCCAAATAGAAAACGAAAAGCAACTTATGTGTCATAATGTAATACCTTTGGAGTCATAGATGCATGAGGGTGAACTTAAAGTCCCATTTCATGCACGTATTTAAGGTTAAATGCTTTTCAAAATAGTTGTGAGTTCCCATTAAATATGTTACATTTTAATATTTCGAAAGTGTTTAATTGAGTTTCTACTGCCTTTTAAAACTCGAAGGGTGCTTTAAATAAGCTGAGTGCTAGCAGTTATAACTTTGTCCTCCTTGAGGCTTAGTTATAGCCGGACCAACACTCAATCACTGCCCCAAGCCGTGAAGACATAAAAATCAAATCGAAGCCGTCGCCATAAACAATTATGAACTTTGTTGCACATTGTTGTCCACACATGGCCACACGGATCCTGCTCCATGTCGTCGCCTTGGTTACATTGTAAAACGTTTTATTGTCGCCGCCATCTGGCGACGATTTGCTGGCAACCCAACCGCCCAACCACCCACTGAAACCACCGAAGCCACCAGAGGTGCCAATATGTCCTTTTTGTTTGCCCATTCGGGGATAGAAAAATACTACCCAACAGTAGAAGATGACCTTTAGACTGACTAATTTTAAGTCCAACTGTAATTACTCTCAGATAGGAAGTTGTTTATACCTAATATTTGAGATGTGCTTGATAAAAACCCATATCTAACAAATAATAACAAATCTTATTGGATTTGAGAGCTGCTTTGCTCATCACTACCGCTGAACCCACCCTAAAAATTGGATTCCAAGGTGTGAGCCGGCGGCACGACGACAACTGTTATGCTTATCGGATGCTTTCTGAATAAGAATAAGAATTCGGATGCGGATGCGGATGTGGATGTGGACGGGACCCGAGTGCGGAATCCAGGAGCTGCGGCAAATTGCTGCTGATTGTCAGGTTCAGGCGACGCTGCGTAAATAACTGAAAGCGGTCCGAGGTGCCAACTGCCTTTGAGCCGGGCCCAAAAGTTTGGCCAAGCACATTAGACGGGGATGGCCAAACTTCTCACCGATTAAGTTGGGAGTCCAATGAAAAGGGCAGTTGGCAGTTGGCAGTCGGCAGTCGGATGGTGATGGTGATGCTGAAAATCTTATCGCCGCACAAGAACCCGTTTCGTTTTAGTGTCGCAATCAGCGCTGTTCACTTGCAATGGCCGTGGCAGGACAAATATTTTACTTTTACTCTTTCGCGTCCGTTTCGAGATTCATTTTTTTGTATACCGTCTCCGTCTCCGTTTCTGACTTTAACTTTCGCCCCACTCCCGCAAACTTGAGCCCTCTAATGCGCTGCAAAAGTGTGCCAAAGACGCTGACAGCGAAATCAAACACAAGGCGGTTGGAGTGGGCAATGTACATATATACGGCCAAGCAGTGGAGAAGGTCCTGGAGAAGGTCCTGCAGAAGGTCCGAGGAAAGGATGCACAAAGTTAAAATTAAATTAGCGTTTTTTCGAGCTGCGCAGGGTAGCAGGCGATGTGAGGTTGGGCCATTCTGGGCCACGGAATGAAGTCCAAGGGCACTCGGTTCGCTGGGGCATGCAGGGTATCTCTAGGTCGAATCCGAAAGCTGCCCGCTAACAAGGTATTCGCCTCCTAGTGCCACTGTCTGTCACTGGCTGCTACTTAGCCAAATTAAAATTTCACAGCACTTATGCGCTGCCCGATGTGGGGCCTCATGATTTGGAAGCCAATTTAACGAAATTCTTCTAATATAATTTTGAAAAGATATAAATTCATTTCATACTCATTACGTTTTTGGCACTCTTCAGTATGCAGAACATCTTATCTTATATTTTATATAATACCAAATTAGTTGTGTTATAATGAGATTTTGTCTGGGAATCATATAAATTTTTTTTTAATTTACATTACCTTTTGAATGGTCGTAGAGCATTGATCCTTCGACTAGCGAACTAAGCAGTTTCGCTTCCGTTTCGCTGTTAGTGTCCTTTTAGCGCTTCGCATTTATGCTTGTTTAAGCAAATGCCGTGTTATCGTCCGGATCCGGATTCGTGTCCGGGTCCGTGTCCGTGTCCGTGTCCGAGTCCAGTCGAAAGGATAATGCGCGTAATTGTTGTCCGTGTCCGGCAGTTGGCGCTGAAGGAGCGCCTCTATTTGCATGGAACGCATTAAAAGTCGCTGGCGCAGCGCCGTGGCAATTCAATTTAAACGAGTGGCATAAGCGCAATCTGGCAAACTAGGATTACCGCTAATGCCGCACGTATGCATGCACATATATACGTATATATCCGGGCTCCAGAGTATAGTGCATATATGCCAATGCTCCGGGAATGACTTTATCGTTACTCAATGGCTCAATTGTTGGACAGCCTCTGTGACTTTCGCTCTCAGCCCTCTCGACACATATTCGCATATCCGCATACAGATCCGCATCCACATCCGCAGCTGTCAGCAGAGCCAACAGCAAGGGCACTTCGAGTGCAGGCAGTTCAGGTCGAGTGGTCATTAAGCGGGATCGATGGGTTGGCATATGGTCACCGTTGCTCGAAGTGCTTGGAGAGTAAAATGAGGTATGAGGCATGGGTGCAATTATGTGTCCACGATTTGAGTTTAATGTATACTACTTCGAGTACACTCACATGCTGTTTATCTAATATCCTTTTAGCTCATTTTACCCAATCATTCAGCTTTAACTTTGAGCTCAGAAAGAGGCATTAAGAAATCTGTGGGCTTTGATAGTTCGGACTTTAATTATGATATTTTTATATTTCACATCACATTTCTGCAAAAGACTGGTGCTGAGTGTGGATTAAACTTCCATTAAGAAGTGTCCTTTGTTTGCCAGAAGTTAAAGCCCATACACAAGAAGATTTGGCTTCGCTTCAATTCACTTCACCCGAGTTTGGCTGCGAAATTGGCATATAAGTGGTTGAGCGACTAACAGGGAATATCAAAAATATTGCCATAAAATATGCCAGACAAGCGCCGCAGCCCCATCCGCATCCGCATACACATCCGCATGCTGAACCACAAGCAGTGCAGATACGAGTTCCAGCGTCTTGACAGCCAGCGATTGACATGGAAAAGAGTTGGGGCAGGGGCACTAAACTGGGGTTCCGTTGGAGACAAGGTAATGAAAAATATTTCCATATTGCAAATAAAGTCAGCTTGCGAACGTGGCAACCCTAAAACCTATTTCTTAACCCTTGTCGACAGGCCGCAGGACGAAGGACGAAGGACGAGGAGTGGCCCTCCTTTACCTGCTGCTGCTGCTGATGCTGATGCTGCTGCTGCTGCTGCTGCTGTTCGTTGGCTTTTGTTTTGGCAGCCTGGCATATTTCAATTTGGGACTCAGGACGATGGGGCCCCAAGTTTATGCAAATTCATTTCAAGTTTCCTGACGCAACAGCATTATCAAGTGCAGGACTGGCGACCTCCGACCTGCAACCTCCGGCCACGACGATGATGATGCCGATGATGGAGATGTTGCACTTGTGCACACGTACATATATATGTATGCACATACCTACTTGTTGACCTGCTGCCTGGCTCTGTGCCAGTACGCAGTTGTTGGCCGCAAGTGTCGGCATCTGTATTATTACAATTATTACGTTGATGTGCACTGCTTTCCCTTTGTAGCGGTTGCTTCACGTGTGTTTGCCTGTTTGCGGTCGGCAGTCAGTTGCTGCTGCACTCGAGTCCAGCACGGCGTATACGCAATTAGCCATATTGGTCAATATTATGCCAAGTTACGCGCAATTTCGCGGTCCTGGCCGTCATTAGCTTTGTGCAGTGGCGCAGTGGACTCAGTGCCATCAAATATGTGCCTATCCAGCGGATATATATTGGCCCAAGGGAATGATCCAGGCGCTGTGAATTTGCGACTCGCTTCGATTCTTTTTTTTTTTTTAATTAAGTTCGGAGCTGGCAAAGTTTTGCCTTGGCTTAAACAATGGCCGGCCACTCGAGACTTGTTTTCTTTGTTGGCAGCCACCCTGCCAGCAAGCAGTGCATAACTTGATTAAATTTCACTCCTTCCCGGCGACTGCAGCCATAAACCACGCTCGTTTAATTTCAATCCAAAGTCTAAGCAGTAACAAGAGCCAATTCAATAAAAATTAAAAAGGAAAGCTACTGAGGGGGGTGGGGGAGATGGGCAATGGGGGGCTTACCGAATGAAAGGGATGAAGCAATCACAGGAAAGCGGCAAATAAACTTGAAGAAAATTAAAAGTGGCAGCCAAGAGAAGCAGACGAAGCACACTGAAGTTGCCATCCAACTTTGATGGAGGCAGCCGAAGGATGGGGCAAGGACCACGGCCTGGATGCTGTAATGGGTGGGGGAGGGGCGGCAGAGGTCCCGGAAACGTATCGACTTAATTGAACAAATCGCAGTAAACGAGCCGTAAATTTTTAATATGTTTCGGTTTGCGTAAATAAAAGCTGACGCAAACTTCCTTTGGCAAAGGACTACCGCAAACGAAAGAGAGATCGTGTCCGACTTCGTTTAGGTAATCGATTGCGTCAGTGAAGCCTGGCCAAATTAATAAATCAAATAAACGCCGAGTGGAAACGGGCCGAGGTAAGCTCATTCAATTAGCAACTAGCTCCTGCTCCAGGCTCACTTAATTACTTCTGACGTCTGCTGACTGATTAAAACACAAGGCTCGGGCTGGGAAAAACACAGCATTACCGGACTGCGACCCGGATCCGGATCCGGACCCAAACCCGAACCCGAACCCGTAAACTCCGGACTACGTCCGACTCTAAGCTTTGACATTTCGGCATTAGCCGGAGGGGCAGGAACAATATTTTCTTTGGCCATTCTAGCGCAAGTCGATGTGTCTGGACTGCTGGTTTATTTGCCTTGGATTTTCCTTTTCCGCTGGGAACTCAAGTGTTAATCCAGCCAGCTGGCCAGACAGCCGGCTAAGCGGAATCCTGTTTTTGTTTTCAGACATCACTCTTTCACTCTCCTCGCATTATAGACATCTTTGGGCACTGGCTACACTGGCTGCACTGGCTAATCCCGTAGAATCTGAACGTGATCTCGCACTGATCAGCGCTGCAAAAAGTGTACATATTTCACACATGCGGAAAAGCGGTAACGGAAATCCAACCGAAGCGTAAAAAATGCCCGACTGCGACTGCGGGTCGAATTGTCATTGTAATAGTAATTTATTGTTTGCAAAACTTTGCCAGCAGCTCGCACATGTCGCCACCAGCAGGAGGAGGCGAGAAAAAGCAATGCTGAGTTGGAGAAAAATGGCTGTGGGACAGCGTTTGACATTTGACATATGCGAGTCGTTTGACATACAAGCAAATTACATGGAACTATTTGTCTTGTCGGCTAAATCGCATAAGCTGCGAGCGGAATCCGGAATGCGGCCACATAGCTAGAACCGAGCTGAGATCCAGCATCTTTGCATGGCAAACATATTGAGTGGCATACGGGGCGTATGAGTAATGTTGCAAGAGTTATTCGAAGCGTTTGGGGGCAGTGTAAGTGTTTTACGAGGCGTATGAGCAATGTGAGCGTTATGCTTATGGCAGGCAATATCGGCAGCATCTCTGCACTGGCAATTCATAATTAACCAGCACACGGGGCGTATGAGCGACGCGTTGCACTTGGCCGACCAAGCGAAGTCATTCAAAATGTCCAGCACATTTTGCCGGCGCAACTTTTCCCATTGTTTGGATGTTTTCGTTGTTGCTGTGCTGCATTAAAATGTGCTGCAAGTTAAATGTTTTAATTAAAATGGGAAAACTTTTCCAATTACGGGGTGGACCGAACAAAAATTATCAATTCAAAAGCTGTGTTTTTAATTTCGCTCTATTCTTTTTTCTTGTTCGGCCCCCAATAAACGTAAATGTGCCTTTTTGGGCACTGCGACTGCGACTGCGACTGTGACTGATTCGCCGCCTGTCACAGTCCGCGTCACTGTGCAGTTCCTTATTGCGAAAGGCAAATTAATTAGGTGCAAAAAGCGGCAAGAGTGTTGGCAAAACTTTCATAAACTCGGTAAGTCTGCTAATTGCATCAGAGAGCGTGTTTAACTTTCGAAAACTGTAACTTAAACGAGGCTAATTAGTTGAAGCACAGCCAGCTTTAAGCTTGCAGGAAATTCCGTACTTGGTAAGAGAACTGCATCGATAATAATAATAATAATAATGATAATGATCAAGGAGGGCATGTGCATGGCTGTGCATTCATAACAGTCCTGCAAAAAGGTCCTTCCTGTTTCGTCCTGCACTCGCTCACCTGCGCAGAGATTAAGTTTATGTGGCGCCGTGTCGTCCATGTGATTAAGTCTCGGCCGCACTGCAAATTGCTGGAGGAAGCCGTGCGCTTTCGTTGCAATTAAGCCGCAACTGCCACATAATGATAAAAAGAGGGACCTCCTGGCATAAAGGAGTGTCGACTGGCGATGGAGGGGAGCGAGGCGAGCGCTGTGATGGACTGCGTTTTAAGCCAGCCTGCCTGCCTGGCTGCCTACCACGATTCCACTCTTTCACTAGTTACGGCCAAGATTGCCACCAGTTCCCCCGGGCTTTATTTTCTTTTTATTTTGCATGTAGCACAAGGACACTTTTGGCTTTCTAACTGGGTTACCGCCATCGTTATGGTCCGTGAAAATTAAAGCCATCGCCTAGTGCCGGCACTTAAACGCCTCGACTCAATTGTCAGGCATAAAGGCAATGTAGCCAACTTTTGATTGCTTCGCCGTGCCGCCAGTTTGAGGCAGTTGCAGCTGGCATGTGTGGCGTCGACAGTTTTAATAAGCAGCCAAGTTGGTGGCACATTTTCGCCAGCATCTCGATCCCATCTCTCAATTCCCACGCACCTGAACCATCCGCAATGACCTGGCCCGGTCTTAATAATAATTAGCACTCAGCTCCCGCTCTGCTGGCCATTTGGCATTCCGGATGGTCAAGAGCCATCCTGCATTGCAGTTCTGGCCGTGACGTGGCACGGAATGTGTTATATATAGTACTCGTACTGGTGAAATCTGCGCCTGTGTTTCAAGATTTCGCTGCCCATTTATCAGCCAAGAATGCGCTGAAAGTTTTTCTCATCCCTTCTCCACTATAATTTTTTCTCATTTTTTTGTTTTTTTTATTTTTTTTTTTTGCCGTGCTTGCAGTGAATTCTTTTTATGCTGCTCGCTCTTTTTTCACTTTTTGGTGGGCAAATGGTAACGGGTTTTAACGGATTTGGCTCGGGGAAAAGGCAGCGCATTGCACAATTTTAGAGAGATGCCTTTTTCGGTTCGCTTTGGTGGCAGCAACGTGCAGATTTATTGCATTCAACTTTCGTGTGACTTTCACAACAAACTTTTATGTCTTGAAACTTTTCAAGTTTACTTAAGCAACAAAAGTTTGTCCTCGCCCATTCAGATTTTTCCCATTCTCGTCGAATTTATTGCCAAAAACACAGCCATCCAAGCTTAAGCGTAGACCAAAATGAAGTGTTCGTAATATGCCATGAATTATGCGCATTAAATTTTCCAGTGTGTGCCATAAAAGTTTGCGGTTTTTCCGCTGATTCCCGCTAATGAGGCGATGATGCGTGTGGAGTGCGTCTGCATCCGGCGGAAATGGGTCTCTCGATTGTCGTCGTAAATCATTCGATTGGCAAGGCGAAATATCGATTTAGTGCCACTGCTACAGCGGGCATAGCTCGCATTAGAATTATTAAAATTCCTGCTGTGGTTTCTCCTTTTTTTCCCCATGCCACATGCCACACACACACACACACACACACACACAAAACCCACAACCACTCCGTGCCGAAGTATCATGTATAGGTATGGCTTTCACTTGGCTGACTGTGCCATTTGGCAAATTAAAAATATTGCCACAGGGGCGGAAGGGGCGCTCTGCACGCTGCTCGACTGGCAGGAAAAAAAAAAAAAAAATTAAAAAAAATAGAAGATGAAGAAATAATAAAAACGTAACCAGAGTGGAAGTGGCAGCCACAACAGTGGCAACAAAAATGAGCAAACATACCATATTTATGCCAAACAAAATCAATATCGAAAGTGGCACACAAAACTGCAAACAGCCGTAAAGCGGAAAGCTGAAATTTCGGAGCGGGGCAGTTGGATATTTGAAATATTAGCCAGACCCAAATATTTTCGCGGTGCTCATTCGATGCATGATTTCTATTCAAAGTCAGCAAATGGAAATTGAGCGCAGTTGTATCTTAAAGTCTAAACTGTGGATTAAGGTTGCTCTTTAATATTGGGTTGCTAGTCAAAATTGAAATATATAAAATGTAATGTAGTACTTAAACAAATTAAATTCGTTCGTCCTTACCATGTGAGATCAATCAGCCAACTTAATAGTGAATCACATCGATACAGAACATTGAAGTCTGTTTCCAAAGTAACTGCCAAGCCATTTAAGTGCAGGAAATTGAATTTTGAAATGCTCGCATCGAACGCTGGATGGATGCTGTTGATGTGGATGATACGAATCTGCGGCAACAACTTGTTGTTGGCATCGGGAGCGTCCCTTCAGTGGCTTCGTCCTTTTCAATTAGGAGCTCTCATCTCGACAATTTCCCGTTCGCTGCAGCAGGGCGGAAATTATGGCACGCCCATTTTAATCATTCGCCATTTCCGGTGCACAAATACACCGTCGAATATGTCGAGCGAAACTAACGAATCTCCATCTCCGCCTGGATCTCGAATCTCGATCTGCCGAGCTGGCAAAGTTACGAGGGCAATTTGGGCAGCCCACCTGGTTGGCTGGTGGGCTAGTTGGTTGGTCAAAGAACGCAGGCGGAGCAGGGATTTGGCCTCTTCCAGGACAGCGCTAATTGCACTTCTTAACAGGGTGAAGGTGGCCGAAATGGAGGTTAGTCGAAAAACGAAAGGCGGGGGCGGAGTGCGACAAATTCCGTGGGCACAGAAACCACGCAAAATTTATGGTTTCAATTAAAAGTTTCACCATTTCCGTTCATTTGCGGCACAAACAAGCAGCCAGCGGCAAGTGGCAGCCTGCCCCACTTGGAAGGTTAAGAGGGAAGCCGATGGGGAACGCAATACGGTAATGAGCCTGGACAAAAGCGGGCCCCAAAAAACTTGTTACTTTTGCAGCTCAGCGCTTAGGAAATGGACAAAGTTTTGACCATCCGGCCGGCAATAAAAATGTGAATTATGGGAAATTTCTAGCTGCAATTTACTTTTTCCTCTTGTGCGAAAAGTATAGCTCATCAATCGGGCAGTTTTTTACACTTTGACCTAAGAGCATTCAATGTGAAACCACTAAAATTGCACATTTGCAGAATGTAGGTAAAGTCGCAGGAAATTTTGCAAGATATTCCTTATTTATTTATTTATTTACCGAAAGATCCTCTTCAAACCAGGATCTGTGGCGCACTGCTTACCGTGTAGTTGCTTACCACCCCAAGAATGTATTCGATATAGCCCGATAGCCTGGTGTAAACCGCTGGATTTCTGCACTCCGAGACTCCAGCACGGATGATTCCAAGTTGCACGTACCGCAGAGACCCATTCATATCCACCTTTTGCATCAACGGACCTCCGGTTAAGCTTACGCAGGTGTCCTCGTTCTGATGTTCTGCGCAGATATGGTCGTCGGTTAGGTTCCTCCGATACATATTGTTACACACGGATAAATTGACTTCGGTCAACTCTACGGGTTTCAGCACTATCGATAACGCCCCGCTTGCCGTTTTTTTCCAGCCAGCAGCCCGGAAGGTTTTGACATCGGGCACTTCAGCGGGATCCGTGATGATGCAAATGGGTCTGATAAAAGCTTTGTGAGGTACCCTGTTAGAAACCGTTTTTTCGAAGGAATGGTTTGATCATATTACCATTAAACTGCACATCCGGTTGTATTTGAAGTAACGCTGCCTTGATGCCATAGTCAGCTGCAAAGTTCTTGTCCCGAAAGGACCTGGTCACTAAAAAGGTCTTTGCTGTACTATATTCTCCAAGACGCACGGCACTAGACGACAAAACGAAATTGAACATGGGAAATATATTTGTTTGGTACCGAAAAGTACTTACAGAACCTGGTTTCTTGCGATGCAACGGGCTGCACTCAAAACGAATTCTTCAGGAAAATCAAAGTGTGAAATGAAAGCTTAACTGAAGAATTATATTGGTCTTACGCTTATGAATAAGAGTTCCCAAGCATACAACATCAGCTGTTCTCTCAACATTATATTTGAGTATAAATGCCTTCCAAGGATTGCTTACGGGTCTCGCATCCTGGCCATGCACTGTTAGGTTAGTGTACCCACAATCCTGCTCAAGGAGCTGTGACATAGCTCCTGGCCAGAGCAAAATCGTGAAAAGAACAGACTGGCTGAAATACATTACTTATCTCGCTTAGAAAACGGAGTGTACTGGTGGTTCTTTCACCGAGCTCATGCGAAATAAACTCGCATTCAGTTGCTTATCAGGAAATTAATGCTGTGCTACTATTGCTCTGGAATCATATTTTAAATCATTTATTGTTATACAGTTGCTTGCTGTTATTGTATTATAAGAAGTATATATTTTAATAGGGGGCAGCAGCTCCAAAGTTTGTTTATTTATTTATTACCATAACATATTTAAGCTTTTCGGTAACCTTCGTTATCTATGCAGAGCTGAACAAATTTCGCTTTAACAAAATAAAATCTTTTTCTTTGAAATCGCCACACAAATCGTCGTTTCATTTCATAGGAAATGGCTAATTTAAAAGTGGATTAGCTCACATGTGTATCACTGTTTGTCATATCGCTTTGATGAGTGGCTAGCTCGCTTCCGGTGCGAGTCAATGCCTTTCCTGGCAAACCTGCCGCCTACATTCCACCGCCCATCAGAAAGGGATGCAGCTGCAGAGATCTTCGGTGAACTGCGTGCTGTGTACTTGTCTATCACCATAAGAATCCAGTCGGTAAAGCTCGATAGACGGGTATAAACACCTGGACCTGTGCACTCCGAGCCTCCAAAACTGATGATTCCAAATTGCGCGTACCGCAGAGACCCATTCACATAGACCGGATGAATCAACGGACCTCCAGAGTCACCATGGCAGGTGTCCCCGTGCGGATGGCCTGCGCAGATCTGGCTCTCGGTTATATTCACCCAAAACAAATTGTAACAGTAGTATGCATTATATTCGTACAACTCTACGGTTTTCAGCACTCTCGATGACGTCTCGTTTTCTGTTTTTCCCCAACCTGCAGCCTGGAAGGTTTTGAATTTGGGCACTTTTGCGGGATCCGTGATGATGCACACGGGTCTGATGAAAGCTTTGTGAGATATCTCGCTAGGAAATCAGTTTAAACAGAAAAATGGGTGGGACCAAATTACCATTAAAGTACACTGGTTGTATTTGAAGTATCCCTATATCGTTGGTATAAGTTTCATGTCTAAAGTACTTGTTCCGAAAGGCCTTGGTCACTGCAAAATTCCTTGATGTACCATGTTCTCCAAGACGCACGGCACTGGACGTCGAAACGAAATTTAGCATAAGAAAGATATTTTTTGGGTGTCAAAAAGTACTCACAGTATATGGTCTTTTGAGATGCAATGGGCTGCAGTCAAAACGAATTCTTCAGGAAAATGTAAGAGTGATATGAAAGCTGAACTTAAGAAAGGCTGTGGTCTTACCTTTGTGAATTAGAGTTCCCCCGCATACGAGCTCAGCTACACTCTCATCTTTATATTTGAATATATATGCCATCCAAGGATTGCTTCCGATTTCCGCCTTCTGACCATGCATTATTTTGGGGGTGATGCCAGGATAGCCGCAACCCGGAACAAGGAACTGTGACATAGCCCCGCGCCAGAGCCAAAAACTGATCGTGATAATCGAGAATATAACACGATGGGTGACAAACATTACTTCTCTGGCTTGGAATACGGAGTGGACTGGTGGTCTTTCAGCGAGCTCATTGGATGTACTCTAGCATTCAGCCGCTTATCAGTAATTTAATGCTGTGCAGCCTTTTTTCTGTAATAAGTATACGTTTTGATAATTGGTTCTTTTTTTAACTCCAATTGCATTGACCAATCGAACTCAGTGCGCGTAGTGTATGTATGTATGAAAGTGCTCGGATGTGTAAGCACTGTTTGTCATATCGTCACTAATTGAAGTGCAAATATTGATGAGTGCCTAGGAAGTGCAAACGCGCTCCGCTAATTTGCACAATTCTCGCGTTCCGCCGCATAATGCGCCGCAAAGTATGCCATGCCAAGTCAATGCCACGCCTGGCGCACCCACCAGCCCACCCGCCCATCGGCCGCGCCCACCGGCGGAAAAGCAGAACCGGCGAATGCAGCTGCCGAGATCCAGAACAGCCAACAGAATCGCAATGGGCGACAAACAGACTAAATGCCGGCACAGCCAGACTCAGCAGAATTTCAAATTTATTCAAATCAACTCGTTCTCGTTCGCGGGCGAAAAGGGAACCGAATTCGTGATGGGGGCGTGGCGGGGGCTGGCAATGAGCAACGCAACCGAATGAATCATTCAATTAGGCATCAAATATTTACAGCAGACGTTTAAATATTGCGACAGACAGATCAAGCCGACTTGATATGCCCGGGAAATCTCGGCTGAGCTGAGATTTGCTGGAGAACTTTTCTAATTGGCCGCTAAGTGCGTTCGTTGGCCCTTGAGCTCTGTCTTCCAGTTCGACTCGCAGATTCCACTCACAAAACTGGAGCAAATCGGGGGAAGGAAGACAGCTGCATTTTGACGAGGGCACCGAGAGTTCAATATGCACACTGCATAAATAAGCAAATAACTTGCCATTGTGTCCCCCTCCCCACCGCAACGCTTTTCCTCCATTTTCCAGCCCAAAGGCAGTTGGAGTCCCAGTTTTTGTCTCGATTCTCTGGTCTGGAATAGTTTTCTTTTAAATTTATGAGTTTCTCCAATACAAAATAGTTGTATGAATTCCCCTTTCCTGTGTGTGTGCGGGTTTGTGCGCTTGTTCAATTCAAATAGTTTGATTACAAAAGTTTTTCCATTGAACATTGCTGGCATTCGAGCAGGTGGAAATGCTGTTTTGCATGGAGGCTGCTCTTCAGCTCTTCTCTTTTTGGGTGGAAAATATTAATTTAATAGGAGGAAAGTGGAAAACGCGCTCTCCTATTTTTGCACATTTGTGTAATTTAATTGGATTTGATTTGCAAACATTTTACAGCAGGCAGGCAGGCAGGCAGGCAGTCAACGTGGCCACGCCAAGTTGTCGCTCAAGAACTTGAGCACTCCAAATATTTTCATAATTTTTATCACGATTGTAATTCTCGCCGAAAAGTTTTTGCATTCGCAAAGTTGCTGGGCCAACTTTCGTGCCCGAGAAAACTTTCGGCTGCTGACAATGAGCTCACAACAGATTTCTGAGTTAATTTCCAGCATCATTTTGGCTCTTCATCCGCTCCCGTTTCCATCCGGCGATGCTGTTGCCATTGCCATTGCCATTGCCATTGGCATTGCCATTGCTGCTGCGCTTTGTATTGTGTGCAACTTTGTAGGCAATAACAATAACAATTGCCAGAACACGCTGCACGCACTGTTAATAAGCCAAATTATAGAGCCGCAGAATGGGCTGAATGCCCCACGTTGGGCGCCAACTAATTGGTGCTTAACGCGGATACTTACGAGCAAAGTTGGCTTTAAGCCACCGCGCCTTATCAATGTCGGCCCAAATGGATCTCGCTGACAGACAGCAGAACAATGCCATTAATCAAGCGCCCTCAAGGTGCTCGCCCAGGTTCTGGCTTTCAGTCCGCTTTTTTCTCTACTACTCACCGAAGTCCCCAACTCACATGTCACATGCATGGGTATGGGCTCGATTCGATTCCGCCCACTTTGGATACCGCATGAAGCGACAGTTTTTCCTGCTCCTCGCTTTTCACTACCAACTGGAAAAAGAGCGAAAAGAGCGAAATAAAAAAGGGAAGCCCAGGAGCGGCGGCAGGACTTTCCCCGCCCCTTTGGCCCCACAAGTGCTGACAGCGATAAATTCTAATGCCGGGTCAGCACAGCCAGCGACCACGCCTCCGTTTCCAGGGCGTATGTGAGTGTGGGCGTAGTTGACCAAAGCATGAAAAATGCTTTCGTTTCCTTTGGTTTTTCCTGCTCCTTGTTTTGCCGGAGAAATGAATGAAGAAAGGAAGTTAACTGGCATTTGGTTTTTGTTTGCCAAGGAAATATTTTTAGCACGTGTTTGGTCAATTTCAGTTCCTTCAATCCCACCCACTCAAAGCCACCCACTTACAAGCCAGCCACATTTGTCACTTTAAATGCAATTTGACTTGTGCCCAATGCGCATAAGTTTTCCCAGGCTTTTCTCGACCGCCTCATCCCCATCCTCCCATCATACCCATAGAATTTTCCTAAGGCATTCGCCCGGCAATTTGTCGTGTCTTGTTTGGGCCAGCACATGGGCAACTGGAATGGATAGGCGAGCAGGGAAAATAGGTAGCATGCACTGGGGAGCGCTTAGGGAAGAGCTCAGCAGAATCAATTTTAAAGTGCTTCTCCGGAAGCCTGCGCAGATATTTATTGTCTGCCCTGGAATTGCAACAATTGGCGACGAGCGAGCCCTGCGGGTCTGAATCGAACACTTTTCAATCTGCATACCAAATCAGCGGCGCTGCCAGTGGCCAAGCCAATTATACCAATAGACGAACATGGGATATTGGCTTGTCTTCAAGGGGCGCTTAATTTGATTTCTACTTCATCAAAATATAAAAGCAAACACGTTGCATCTCTGTGTTATACATTTCTTTTCAATGTCAGCTTCTGTGAACCCATAACCAATTGGCAGCTGATGAGCAATGAACTCGACTGTTAAGCTGTCGGTTGCCGAAAAGAAAGCTCGAGTTATTTAAATATGCACTGAACTGGTAGCAAATTACCCCATCCCACGTGCAACGCTTATGGCTTCATTAGGCTGCGTCGTTGAATCTTGTATCTTGGGTGTTCAATGAGCCGGAAATGTCTTCATTATGATTGCATATGACCCGGCCAGTGAGAGGAGGGGTCGGGGTTGTGGAAACGGAAGCGCCAAACTTCATTTGTTGTCTGGCTGCTGTTTTCGCCATCGCTTTTGCTGTTTACCAGAAGTGCGTACGAGCGTGGCAATTCGCTGGGCGCACAATCTCAGCCAGCCATGGGCTATGGGGGCTATGGGGGCGTATGAGTGATGGCGGCAGTCATGCAAACTGACAGTTTATTTACCCAACGCCATCATTACCGGGGCCAGTCAATGTTTGCCGTGGGAGTCAGGGAGTCATGTGTGTCGGCTGAAATTATCGCACGATATGAAAAATTGACTGTGATTTATGCAATTATGTTAACAAAATATTTACTTGCCCACAATTGATGGGCAAGCCCCTTTATTCCTCAGCACCAGGATAACCATTAGAAAGACATTAGCTGGCAGCCCCAGCTTGGCTTTTTGGGGTCGGATCAGCCGCTCGCATTTGTGGTCAAGAGCTAGTTGGCCATAATGAACTCCCCTCGGCGGATCAGCTCGACAGCACAGCCGCAAAATGGAAAAGGGGGGAAAAAACTTTGTCGTGTTTATGAGTTCCAGCCCCAGTTTCAGTTACAATCCCCAGTTTTGCCGACAATCCCCTGGTCCCGGAGCCCGGGTATTGATGCCACTTCACATCGACTTGTCAGGAACAGCCGCTGGCAAGTTTTTGATGTGTCAGCCGGAGCGGAGGGGAAATGCGCAGGAACACTGGGACGTACGTACAATCTAATAAACGAGCTGGCGAAAAAGAATAACAAACTTTCACTGACCTTTGTGGGCTGGACTATGAACTCTGATGAAAAATCCACCCGTACCTTCGAAGGACCTTCGAACCTTCAGCCCACTCACACACGCAAATTGAAATGAATAATAGAACGCTGTGAGCCCAGAAAAACAACCCAAATGAGACCCATTGTTGGTATTTGGCTTGGATGCCTTTGTTCTGCCCAGTGTCCCTGGGGTGTGCGTGATGCAGGGCACACAAACAAAGTGGGAAAAAGTTGACACATTCACTTACCAGATTAAAATGGAGCCAAGGCCACACAGGGGAAAAAACAAGCAAATACGTGTAGCGTGGCAAAAAATGGCAAATGCATTCAAAGTTCCGCATTTATATCTTGGATTTTGTCCCTAATGAAAGTGCCTAAAAGAATGCAGTGAAAATGAAAAATCGATCGTCGGAACTGCAAGGCTCTTCTTTTATTTAAATTACCAATTTAAGCCCATAGTTCATACACAAAACCGAATTTCTTAATTTATTGTTCTCTCTGTAGAAACAGCACTAAGATATCGGGGAAAATCGAAAAGCCCAAACACACACCTGAGTCGATGATGGCTTTTATCAAATGAGGCGGCCCGAAAGATGGATGGAGACCGATGCCTTTGATTTATGGCCGCAAAAGTAGTTTTGCACTCCAAAAGTCCGCTACATCAATGTCAGTTAATTGTCATTTATTAAGCCATCAATTGTCAGTGGAATCCGCGACCCACTGGCCCACAGCTTAGCATTTAGACAAGGCCAAGACGACAGACGGCCAAGTTCAGCTAAGTTGGCGAATTGCTCAGCGAACTGTACTAATCGGGGTCATATGCGCAATTATAAAGAATAACGGCGGAGCAGAGACTCTGGCTTCAATCCCCATACAAGAACCCTCAAAGGCAGCCAAGTTTTTCATGAATTTTCGAGCCACAGCAGCACAGGCGGAAGAGAGGCGGCCCAAATTCCCGCATTCGTCATGGCTGGCTGCTGCGTCTCTGGAAATTCACTCGAATGGAAAGCAGAGTTTTCCGAGTGCCAGCCATACAACTGGATGTACATATCTGGCTGTGCTTTAAAAACTGCGGCCACTTCATTTAAA